GCCAGCCAGCGTGGCTACATGAATTTTATATATATTTTTTTTCAACCGATATGTGAGCGGGGTACTGGCGTGTGCCGGGATTATAAAGATTAAGTGACTTGGCTTTCAAGTGGCGCATCGATTGAAAAGCTTAAACCATCCCGGTGGCCGCAGGAAAATGGCTTAAATGCTTAACTGATGGTGAGCATGGCAATAAGCCCCACTACAAATGTCGCCACTTCTGGGAGCGGATCCCATCGGCCTAAGGACATAAATAGATGACCATTCCCGGTGACCAATTCCCCGTTGCGTTGCGTGTGTCTCTTACATTTCGGAAAACTTCAGGGGGGAAAAAGGTTCCCAGAAAAATAGCAGAGCATGGCCCATAAATAGTGGGGGTCATTAGAAGCTAATTGGCCTTGAAAGCTTGTACCCTGGGAACTTGGAAAATAATAAGTATAGGGCAGCATGAAATTTAAATGCAAAGTTGCGTTTTTTTTTCAGCTTCATTGATTTTATGGGGAGGTAATACATACATATATCTCTTTTTATTTTGTAGTTAAAACTATATAACTATGGAAACGATTAGAACTTGAAATATATTTGAATTGTTTGACAGCCAAATAACAATAGAAAACGCTGACAATTTTAAATAAACTGTAAACATTGCTCTGCATTAGTTGACTTTGGTCCTGCGGCAAAAGTTTTCAGCTGTTTCGTGGAATGAGAAGTTGGCCCCACTGCCCACCTTGTTGCCTTCTTGACTGATTCTATTGTGGCCGGATGCAAAAGCCACAGCAAAGCCTCAGAATTAAGTAAGTACTGGCAAAAGAGCCAAAGCCACAGAAGCAGCTTCAACTGCACATTGATGGTCGTTATGCAAGGACAATGGCCACCGCCTCGACTCCTGCCGAGACTTAAGGGATATATATACATGTAGTAAATATAATGGGACAATACTGCATATTGAAGGCTGGCAAACAGACTGAACAAAAGGTGAGCATCAATGTGCTGAAGATGAAGATGGCATCCACTTCCGTTTCCGCCCAGCAGTGTAATTGAATGGCATTTCCGCTGTTTGGCTCACAGCCAGAGAAATGAAGCCAAAGGATTTCTAAAGGATGTGCCTGGCAGCACCTTCGCCTGCTTAGTGTCCAATTTGGAAATAGATGAAAATGCGGCACGAAATTATAGGACTGTCAGCCAATTCAATGCGGATACAAATATGTTAGTTATTTAGGCATTTTTTAAGAATTATTTTGAAGTATTCATTCATAAAAAGTAAATATTCCGAACATTATACTTTCTTTCTTTAAAAAAAAAAGAAAGCTATATTCCCAAAGAACGCGAGAAGAAAGTTTGTTGCTTCTTCGTGCAAATATTTAACACGGAAATTGCATTTGCTGTAACACCAGCCCCGAAAAAGCACTCTTGATGCTCATGCTGTGATAATTAAATTGCCACAAAAAGTGAGGAGGAAACTTTTCAAATAGAGTTGCGGTTGCAATGCGGCACGCCAAATAATGAGAAATTGCTCAACATGGTAAGAAACAAGACCCTTCTGATGCTGGTTTTTCAAAGAAAGTAACAACAAAATGTTCTGTAGAGCAACTAAAATAAAACTGCTTTAAATTTAATTTTTAAGCTATCAAAATTATAAATTGAAAGAGTATTTCATATTAGATAAAATGAGTTCATTGCTTCCCAAGCCATTGTGATGGCTAATATGTGAAACAGATTTTCCATTTTATGGCTAAACCCAAAATTGGCTTTTAAAATATCACGTATACGCATATCTGCTAATGGGGGGCCTGGTCCTAAGCCAAGGCCATAAATCAAAGACCATAAATTGTGTTATCCCTGGCAAGTATATACTTTTATTATTGACGTTGAGCGGAGCTGAGCCGACAAGTCCCTTGAGACACTCTCTCATCCTTTTTGGCTTGTACAGTTCACAAATTCCAAGTACTCGCATCACTCAAATTCCCACACGCGTAATGGCTGAGTTTATTAACTCGATTAAATAATGGGAATCTGGAGTTTCTTCTGGTATTATTTATGGCCATTGCTGGCAGTTATAACAGGTTAATAATAAATGTCAGTGTCTGCCGCAGGGCAGGGTATTTGTATGTGATTTGCAGTGGATTCCAAACCGTTTAGCCAATTAGCTAAATAAATATTGGAACTATGCCACAAAATATGCCATCGACATGTGGAATATTGATGAAAGCCAGTGGGGATTTTAAAACGAAATTATAAGATTAATATTTAAGAGGCGTTAAACTAATTTAAGGATCTTTTCAGTTAGGATTTTGGCTTTGTTTACACAACTTTTTGTACTTCCTTCTCACCCCTTTTGTTATTTTTATGCTATGTCGGCAACTTTCAATTATAAACACTCTGAAATTGGCTTAGTGAGTGCTGCACTTTATGGCCAGGACGTGCGGAGAGATTGGCAGTTGGTGAAAGTGGCAGCAAAGCCACTGAGACGCGGCGAAAGGAGTTTTTTTTTGGGGATCCAGTGGCTGGAGTGGAAACCAATCAAGTGGGTTTCTGTGTGGGATGTGCGATGAATCTTAAAGTTGGTTAAGAACCATAACAAATGTGAAATTTGGTTGACTTGGGTTCCTATTTAAAATTACAGTTAATATTTACCTGTTGTCTATATTAAAAGCCCTTAAAAATAATAAAACTAATGAAGGATACATTTTTTAATGAACTTCCCCTCTAACCAACTGTTAGCAATTTTTAACATTTTCACTTGGCTTTCCGCCCAAAAATCATTCAATGTCTGCTGGGCCATTTGTATGTCAATTTCGCCCCAAGCTCTTTGCACGGGCAACAGCCAATTAAACGATGGAGGAAGTGTCCAAATGGGCCAGCCGGAGGACTATATTCAGTGGCTCTTTTAGGCCGACTTAGAGCGGGTTTTAGCCGTTGTCGTTGGCACGCACAATTACGTGGGCGAAAAGCGCATCACGGAAATGGGAGACTGGAGTCTGGCGGATGGGAAAATTGCATTGCAGGCAGTCAGGAAAAGCTGACAACTGGCTAAATGGACCGTTGCGATGGGCAAACAAACAGATAGACTTGCTTGCCATCCCCCAGGATCTGCGTATGAGCGATTTTGGGGGGAAGCGGAAGTGGCAGTGTGAAGGAGGGAGAAGGTATAGGGCTTTGACATCACGTGCTAAGCATTCTGGCGATTGTCCAACGGAATTGCTTGGCAAAGTGCAGTCAATAAAGCCACGCAAAGGTATTATTCAGTTGCCAACAATTGCAATTCTTGCACAAAAAAAAAGCACACAAAGCCATGAGCTGCGATTTATCTGCACCCTCGAGTTTATACAACAAAAATATATATAAATGGGGCATGCAACAGATTTGCCAAATTAGATTTACTTCGGCGCTTCATTCCAAAGGTAAACTTGCAATTTTGCACGCCATTTGCTCCTCAAGTCTGTTTGCGAAATGCATTCGTTGCTTATCGCCGATCATCATGCACTTTAGCTACTAGGTTTTCTTGGATTTTTAAAAGGCGCTGTTTAAGTTGGTTTAAATTTAAAGGAGACTTAAACATGTTGTAACTTTTTACTATGCTATAGGAAATACCTTTTAAATATTCTTCACAATTTTAAAAGATTTATTTCCTTTCTAACGATGTCAACAGCTATCTTGTTACTTACCTGATATATGGACAAGCAGATTGCAAAGTCCTTATTCCCCAGAAGCCGCACCTAAACCCATATGAAAGCCTGAGCCAATATCAAAAGCTGCCTGTCACATTCAAAAAGCCCCAATCCTGCCATTCATCGCCTTCAAGGACCAAAGCAAGAAAGAAGCTCTGACAAAAAGCATAAAGTCATGGTACAATTGGATTTGTGATTGCCGTGAAAGGTTTTCATATTCAATCTCACACAGATCAATAATGTCAATTTGTCACCTGAACCGCAACAAGCAAAATCGAACAAAAATAAGCACAAAATACAGATGTATATCTGCAAAAAAAAGAATAATTGGAAAACGAGAAAGATTAACTTGACGAAATACAGAATAAATAAGAGCCTAGATATTTTATTTCCTCATATTTCTTTAGTATGCATTTTAAACAACATTTATCCATCATTTTGGTAAAGTATTCTTCTTTTTATATATTTTTTAACATTTTCCAACTCATCTGCTTAACCATTCAGCCCTGTCACATGTAACTTTCCTCGGCTAATTCATCTGGATGTGTTTCTGTGGGACGCCAGATGTAATTCGTAATGGGAATAAGGAATGTGCATGGGGGCGCAAAAACAAAGAAATAATAAAAAAGCATAATAATGAATACGAGAATGGGACAAAACAAAAAGAAGACCAAGAACGTACAGGGGTGACATTAGCATACAAGAAATGACAATGAAGGGGAATTCCAGGACGAGGGGAAAGGCTGAATTCTGCGGAGCGAGGACGCAACTCCGACGGGCCAAGGCATTTTCAAATGCCATGGGTTAGTTCGCCCCGCATTACGTATACGCAGTGTGCACACAAAAAATTACGAATAGTCACGTAGCAAAAGTAAATTCAACCCTCCTCATTTTAGCGTTTGTACTCGTCTACTATGTGTGTGTGCGTCTGTGTGCATATGGGCGACGCTTGTCAGCCATTTTAATAATTGTTGGGGCAATTCTCTGCTACTAAACCCGTCGCCCATTTACTTGTGGTCGGTCAGTTGAAATGTGCCCCAGGCACTGGCCGCACCAAAAAGGAGAAAAAGTAAAAAGCTGGTCATAAACTTTCAACTCGCTGAAATGTATGAATTGCAGAGTGGAGTGAATATTAGAATTCAACAGTTGCACATGCAAATAGCTCACAATGCCCACATATTTGCTTTTAATTTGCATGTCATGCATATTTCGCATAGAAGTCAAGGAGGTAAGAGTGGCGGGGAATTCATAAAAATTCCTTGATAGTTTGGTAACTTTGTTTCACAGAAATTAAATCAATATATGCTTGTGTAGAAAATGTCAAAGAAAAAGTTTGATGTGAGAACCACTTTGAAAACAATTTCGCTTGTTTTTTATTTTCTGATCTACAACCAATTGAAACAGATGAGCCTGACAACAGCCTGAAGCCTCGAGGGAAATTTGGGAACTAGGAACATGGCGAGTCGAGATTTAAAGTTTGATCAGAGCTTGGCTGTTTGTAATTATAATTGTTGCTACTTTTTTTAAACGTCAACAGGCTTGACTGGAACTGCGTAACCGATTCTAAGTCCGTCAGAAAACTGAGATTTTATTGCTCCCGTTCAGCGTGATTTTAAACATTTTCGCAAGTTCCCGTTTCTTACTTTATTATTTTAATATTTCCTCTGTATTCATACCATGTAAAGGGCGGTCCATCATATATAGGTTCTCACATATAATGTCCGGTGCGTTTCCAGGAGATGTTTCAGTTTTGACAGTACCAGGTTTTGGTCTCACTACTCGTGGCTTTCTCTGAATTTGGCGGTTTTTTGCTTTAAGCAAAATCTTGCGAACACCGGCTATTTCGTTTACAGTCAAGGAGTCGTTGCAACGCTCACCAGCCTATACAAATTAAGGTAGGTTTAACAAATATAAGATAAACAGTGGATAGTTACCTCTTTCTTTACAGAGCGTAGTCCCTGGAATGCGCGATTCAGAGCGTATTGGGATGAACCGAGTCGTCTAATCAAGCCAAGCTCTGATTGGGTTTTCAAAACTTCCAGAACGACGTTGTCTAGATTGTTTACAGGTTTCGTTCTACGAATCGTTTTTTTCACACGCTCCTGTATCTCTCCAACCGACACAATATCGTTTCCAGCTTGTTGGAGGAACTCAAGGGCTTTGAGGACGTGGCGGTTGACTTTCTTCGAATGGAGTCCTGGAAATCCAAATGCCATTGTATACACAGAGGATCCTTTTCGTGTTATGATTCCCAACTCTGTCTGGCGTTTCAAAGAGTCAATCACCACATCCTCCAAGTTTTCTACATGCTTGGTGTATCGAAGTGAATGCTTCACTCGGTCTTGTATTGCAGCAATGGACACAAGATCAGTTCGGGAAGTTTGAAGGAAGTCGATGGCTTTTAGAACGTGTCTGTTAATTTTTTTAGGTACCTTGAACGGTTCCATGTCTTTTTTTTGAGAAAATTTATATAACTACAACTTTAATTTAATGTTTTATTTAATTTATAAAATTTAATACGTAAACCAAAGATAACTAATATATAAAATACTTTCACGTTCAAAAAATTGTCCAAAATAGTATTACAAGTACAACCAATATGGTTGAGTTCAGCTGAAATTGTGATAAATTAACCAAACGAGAACATGACACAGGCTAGGAAGTTGTGAAAAGCCTACTGGAATAGGAGCATAAATAAGGTTGCTCTGTTTTGTTTAAAATTATAACAATTTTGTATTCCCACCACAAGCCCATTAAATTATCTGGTTGAAAACTTCGTACGTGGGGCAATTAAAATTTTCCAGAAATCCAATGAAAATTCTGCCTAAGCACTTAAGTAGGTGTTCAAGTGCCCAAAGGGAAACCCAACACCAAAAGTTGATGTTTAATCCTGATGTGTGGTGGCTGCTAAGACCAAGTTTGTCTCCTGTCACCTGTGGGATTTTCCAAGGGTTCCGGAAGTGGGAAACTCCTGATGCCTGTGGGCATCGTTTTCACTGTGCAAATATTTAAGGATTGTGGAAATCCCCGGCACACGTTATCCGTCAGCTTATCTGACAGGTTTTCAGTTTTGAATTTTGAATTTTTTGGGGCTGAGTGGGCTGCTCATCTAATTATGTTAATCGCCGCACGTTCAAGTAAAGTGCTCAATGAATTGAGGGGAGATTGCCTAAACAAGTTTCTGTGGTAACACATAAAGGCAATATATGACAAGTAGGGGTAGTAAAGAACACTGAGAAAATCTAAATTTAAATATTTGGTTTTAAAACACTAATCTTCTTTTTTTTAATTCAAAAACATACTTTGTATATAGCTTTAAAAATCACTTTTACGAGATTTATACCCCTTCTTTAGTTTTCAAATTTTGTTAACTGTATTTGTTAACTCATATGTTAAGAAAACTTAATGAAAATTTATATCGCAACGGCACTTTACGAGGGCATTCACTCTCCAAAGGCGCAGTGCGCCAATAATTTCTCTTTATTATTTCAAGAATTGGTTGTACAGCGACTGGGGAAAATCAGAAGAAATGAAAAAAATATATATGTCAGTGCGCATTATACTTTACGGTATTTTCTTTGCGGCAGACTTGGCCCCGTCCCCGGAAAATGGCAGACGACAGGGAATAAATGTTGGCTGTGGACTGGCAGGGATTACTCATCAAACCAAGTGCAGTCAGTCCGAAGCCACCAAGAGACCGTCATTTACTTTTCTTTAACATTTTTCTTTTTCCCATTTTACCTGGCTAAGAGTGTGTCTTTTATTATTTAAAGGCTTTATTTTAAGTGTGACAGCAAAAAGTGTCTTGGGGGAATTTCAATATTCAGAAGGCTTAGTTTTAAAATTCATTTAAAAAATAAAACAATAGATTTACCACCTTAAATAGAATTTAAATATTTTTCGCATATTAAAGTGTTCTGCAGAGTCCATTAAATAAAAGGTTTAGCATACGACCGCACTTGCATGTTACAAACGTTGAACTGGGCCACCAACGTGGCTACAACGTTACCCAACTGCCGCCACAGGATGTGTGAATCCCGGTGTGAAAGGATCAGGAAGGGGAAATATAGTGGCTAGTATTTTTGCATGTTCAACAGACTTTTTAGGGGCATAAGCAATGACATTAAACTAACAATTTCTACCATTAAAAAATATATTAAAATATATTATTAAGTATCTTAAATATATTTTACTTTAAAAAATATTCGTCAAAATATGTTTAAAACATATATATATAATAAAAGAAGGTTAGACCTTTTCAATATGCTAAACAAACTTAATTACTATGAATTTTTAATAGAGAAATTGATGTCTCGCTCAGGTCCTTTTTGTATAAAAAATTTCCATTTTCTGGCACAAAATAGTGTGTTCCAAAACTCTCTAGTGCAACTCCAAGTTTACCCTGAAAAGTTCAACTTAAAAACGGAAGCCAATATGGAACAGGAGCAAAAAATACATATATAAAATGCAGCAAGAGACATAAACAAACAACAACAGCGCAGCAACAATTTGCCAACTTTTGTAATTGCCCAGAGACGAAAGAGACAGCTGCCTGGGCAGGGAAAGTCACCCCAGACAAGCTGAAATGAAAAATTCTAACAGTTTGCTTGGAGTTTCCTCTGTGTTTTTATTTCGGCAGAAGCGTTGAAAATAAAAAGAAAATTCAGTAGCAGCCAGAAGGCAGCAATCAGGAAAAGGCGACAGGGACAACATACAGGCACACTCAAAGTGTCCTGCCACATTTTCATTCCTGGGAAGTCAGTGTGTGTGTAAGAGTGCAAGCAAAGGAAAAGCTTGTTGTGGCTTTAAATGCAGATTTCTAACTTGACCACGTACAAGTTTTATATTTCATGTGTGAGTTGCTCCCTCAAAGTCCCACTCATTATTCATCTCCGGTTGAGCAGAATTAATGATCCTGGCAGACCGCTAGACCACTTTACACTGTTGTAAAGTTTTGCCGCAGAAAGAACTCTTTTTGTGTTTGCCCTCAAGTAGTATTATTAAGTGAACTTTAGCCTTAATCAAGTCAAACAACCTGCAGAGCAATATTTATTAGAACAAAATAACTAAAATCTAAGCTAGAAATGTATAATTTTTAGACAACCCTGCTGAATTTGAGTCTTTTTTCATTTGAACACAAAATATTTTTCACAATGAAACTATTCGTTGGCTCTTCCTTGCTCTTGTTTTACTCACCACAATGTAAACAGCCAAATTTATAAATAGAAGAGCGAAAACAAAGCAAACGGCCAACGAATTCCAGGCTAAACAATGCACGAAAATTAAAAATATAAACAGTGCACTCAATTAAGTACGAGAATGTAGTCCAATGAATTGAACATTTTGTGGCGGCTCGTGCGATTTCCGTTAGTACCTGGGTTAATATTGAGATCATTTTGCCAAATTCTTTAGCATTGAGGTTTGTGTATTAAGAAGGCTGCTGAAAAAATAGGAAAATCGGATAGATACCTTTCATAGCATACAAATTCAATAGGAAAACCTAAAATTATTAATACCTATTACCAAGTTTATATTCTTGCGAGGACGTTGTTCTTTAATTAGTTATTTTGTACTTCAGTTTGTAATTAGTTCTTCATTCTGATGTAAGTTATTGTTTTGTGTTTAAATATGGAAAATCTTTTGCTCTTCTTTTTTGTACTTCAAGTTTTCTAGGCTTAAAGGGTATTACTTCTATTTGCTTAAAACTGAGAAAAGGTGTTTTAGGACCCTCTATACCGTGTATCTTCCATTCCAGCACACTTTACTCTACCCTCTTTCCTTCTTCTCCATGAAAACAAAATATATCTTAGCCTGAAGAAAGTGATGTCTTAAAGCTGACATTATAATTGCATTTGGCTCTTAGTGAGCTCTGTCACAATAAAGAGCCTTCTTTAAGGCACACGCCCCTGAGTACGGGTTAAGTTTGTTTTCATTTTCACGGCGTATTTCCTGCGCAGACTCCGCGATTGTCCGACTTATTCGGCAGCGCAGTTGACGTCGCTGTCTCCGTCAACGTCGCAGCCGGCGCACTCCGTCCGACGAGTAGACAGTTCTCATGCGGCTTTCATCGGGACCGCAACGCAACGTTAGGCAGCGGAACGGGATATAGCCAATCGGATATATGTGAAACTACGTAAAGGGCCAGAACACGGCGGCACGTGGGTGTGAAAAAAAAGAAAAGAAAAGCGGGCAACAATCGCCATTACAATTACAACTACAATAAGCAGCGACGTGGTAATAAATGTTTGTAAAAATAAAAGAAAACCGAAAGTAATGGAATTAAGTGTGTGAGAGTGCATTTGCGTGTTTTCGCGGTACAAAAAAACGAAAAGCAAAGCATACATTTTCATAATTACTTAGGTTCCAAGGAGCGTAAATAATTAAAACAATAGTAATTTCAGTTGGGAAAAAAAAACCCAAGGACTTGGGGAAATTATTTTCTTTGTATATCATTATACTTGTAATGCTTTAGCTTTAAATGAAAAATAACTATTTAGAAACTTGCATAAATTAAAAAAAATATATATCAAGTCTTCCTTTACTTTACCCAGTTTTTGATTCCAATTTATCTTCAAATTTTAATGAGATTCCCCGAGTAGAAGGAAGTCAAGTGGACGGTTTCCAATTATAATCAACAGTTTTTTTGCGTTACCTGCAGCTGTGGGTGATTTCAATTAAAGCTACCTACCATCAACGTCTTAAAAGTGGAGTGGATTCGAGCGTTTATTATTGCCTTCATCTAAAAAGAACCAGCTGACGCCCGGGGAAAAAGCATGCCCATCAATTATACGATTTAATCACCATAAACGAAAGATTGAAGTGAGTACTTAAGATGCTTGGAATTTGATGAAATGCTGTGCCAGAAATATCTCAACCGTTTCCCAGGCACAGATTTTGTGTAATTATATTAGATAGATTAAGATTTGGAACGTGCTGAGAATTATTTAATTAGGTTAAGCCCAGGCTACGATAGAAAATTCCCAAAATCATCCATCTGAAGCAACCAATTACTTTATGCTGGCAGGGAAAGTTTCTACTGGTTACTGGTTACGGCCTGTAATTTTGTTAACAAACTTTTCCGTTTATCAATTAAGCCAAGTTCACTGGTATTTCTAAAATACGTAGCCTCTCTTATATCCAGTCAATATGACATATATAATTTGCTGGCAATTCATCAGCGAATTTCTCATGTTTTGTTTACCTTTGGCAATGCAATTTGTTTGGAAAGTAAAGGAAAGTGCATGAACGCACACGGAAAAAAGATATAAAGCGGCAATAAACAATAAAAATAAAACAATAAAAACGAAACCCGAAAGACTCAACAAAATAGCCTGGAAAAGCAGGCAACATTATCGTAGCAGTGCCAACGGGCGGGATGGAAAGGTAGTCGCATAAATGGCGAAATAACGAGGGCAAAGGCGACAATGAAAGGGATGAGGATGAAAGGACATACGGAAAAAATGTACACTCGAAAAAAAAAACCTTTGAAAAATAGGATTTTATAGAGTCACCTACAAGTTAGACTTTATAATGTTGCAGTAAACTTAACAGATTGAACACCTTTTAAATTAAATATTAAATAAATAAAATATTCAGTTAAATAATCTCTTTATTTAATTTAAAAATATTTAGAAAAAGATGGACTTTTGAACATGAGTTCTTAAGATTTTAGAAATATTTTTACTCAGCAATTGTTTATCACAAAATAGAGGGGTTGTTCATACCTATTAAAATATTACAAAAATTATAACTAATTTTATTAAGTAAAGCTAAATTATTTCTTCAAGTGCATGGGGAAACTGAAGGAGCGCTAAAGCCTTCACAAATGTCGTGCGTTAGTGTTGCGGCTGGGCCATTTAGTTGGTACCGGCGTCACATTACGTATACGCAATGTGCACGAAAATTACCAGCAGTCACGTACCAAAGCAAATTCCAACTCCGCACTTTTACTACACACGACTGAGTGTGCACGTGTGTGTGTGTGTGTGTGTGTGTATTAGTAGGGGTGTGCGGAGTGTGCGTGGGGCTTATCAACCATCATAATAATTGTTTCAGGCAATTTTCCTGCCAAGTCTGGCCAAGGTCCCTTCGCGTCCATTCCGACATTCGACAGGAATAATTACACACACATTTGGCTGTCATAAAAACCAAATTTGTTGAAATGTTAAACTGAAATGACAGCACAAAACATTTATAACATTCTGTGTATTTTGGATATCCAACAATCGTTTGTTTTTCGATGTCAGCTTGCATGTCAGTTTTGGAGTCTCTCTCTCTGGCGAAACAAGAAATGTTTTCTGTATTTATTTAGAATTCAATTTGCATTAGACTCATCATGCAGTTTTTACTATAGTGTCGTAGATCATTTACCTAAAAGAGCAACAAAATAATGTAAACATTTTGAGTGGAAAAAGATTAAAATAAATTGTTTTACAGTCATCAGTGACAGGTATTCATAAAATATTGCCACACCAATAATCAAATATTCATTTTTATAATAAAAAAGGGATTTTTTACTTTGTCTGTATAAAAAAAATGTGATGTTTTGATTGAGCTGAAAATAAAATCAATTTATATAGATAAAAATCACCTTTTTTTATTGGGCCATTTAATGGAAAAAAATACATTTTGATTAGGTTGTTAATTTTTCATAAATATCAATTTTGATTTTGATTTAATTATCGTTGATCAGGGATCTTTTTGAGCGACTGTATTTCTAGACAACAAATAAATTCTTCTCAGAAAAGTTTACTTTACAGATCAATAGTAAGCTTTTCTGAGTTTATAAGATTTTTAATTTATTTAAATTGTAGAATATCTTAAACTCACTAAAATATTTGTTTCTTTTCAACTTGAACTCCAAGTCGAGGTGGATGTCAAACTTAATCAAATTGTGAGCCGTCAATCTGCATTCGAGTTTTCCTTTTTTCCAACTGTTTTATCCATAAATCTGCCAAAGGCCTGCGGCTAAGCAGCAAACTTGTTTCCATATTCCTGCTGAAAAACTCATGCATATAATTTTGCTTTGTTATATTTCATTTTGCAACTCGATTCAAGTTTTCATCTTGGCCATAATAAAATTTGAATTTCATAAAACCGGCAAAGGCAAACAAACAGTCAAATGTGGTGGTGGCTTTGTTTTCTTCCTTTTTTTTTCCATTTTCCATTTTCCTTTTCCCCCTTGCCTTCTCTTTCGCGCTGTGTAGGGAAGCAAATACGAATTTCGTGCTTGGCTAGGAAAATTTATGGCTATTGGTTTCACACAAAGAAAAACATGCATGAGACGCCCGAGTTGGCGGCTTATGTTGTCCTTGGGAACACGCGACGTATGCGCAACAAACGCGAAATATTCCCTTCGATGAAAGTGCTTTCCAGGAAAGCAACGCCTTTAATTTGGGGAAAAGTTAAAATTAGCAAGTGACTTTTGGCTGTACTTTAATATACATAATTACATGTTTCAGAGACTATCTTTGGAGTAAGCACTGTAGCTGGCGGGATATTTCTATTATTTTTGTTGCTTTCTAAAATATTCAGTTGACTTGGCTTTACCGCTCAACAGTGAATGATATTTTAAATATTAAAATGGTTGTGTGCCGCAAATAAAAAATTCCACAGCTATTTTTATAACCCACGTTGAAGCCAAGAAGGGCGTACACTCGGACTCGGCTATTTTCACCGCAGTTTACCTCTCGACGAAGGACTCGAGAGCCCACCAGCTGTTGCAACAATCACGAATTGTAATAAAAGTTTGTGTCTGCTTCCCACAGATACAACTTTTTTACAAGGTATTGTACTCAGGGTACGCCTTATTGGCTGCTAAGGGGACAGTTTCTTGCCGCAAAGAGAGCCATCTGAGGACCCTGGATATAAACGGAGTATTTTCTTTTGTTCAAAACCTTAAAGAAATCTAGATCTTTAATGTCCAAAGGTGACAGTCACAATGTTTTTCCGGTTATTTTGCAATGCAAAACACGTCTTTACTACAACACTCTTGCTAGCCGGAAATGGAGAGTAAGAAAATCCAGTCTGTGGTGGTCAGCCCACTTCGCTTTCCTACTTTTTCAGTTTATTATCTGTAAATCTCACGATACGAGTGCGAGTGCGAGCCATTACTCAAAAAAAAAACCACACACAGTTATCCTTGGAATCCTTGTTTGCTCGTTAGAGCCATTAGAGTACGTGATATGTGCGGACATCATCAGTTGGAATCGGAATTGGAATGGCCAGATGGCCATATGGCGCACTGTCATTATTAATGATGCAATTGACATGAGCTGTCGAGAGAGGAAATTGAAGTGATTTGGTTTTTTCAACTGGCAAAAATAGAAAGAAATATAAAGAAAATGGTATTGAGATTACCAGGCACTCTCCCCTCTTTACTTTTTTATTTTACATTTTTTTAAGGCTTTTACGCTTTATTTTCTATTCATTTGCCCTACTACTGCCACTTTTCCTGAGTAATTTTCCTTTGCCTTACTTTGTTTTGGTTCTAAAGCTTGACTCTTTTGTCTTTCACATTCCCCTTTTATCTGGCCAACTCAAGAGACTTTGCCTTCGGTCATCCAATTCAATAAGGTACGTGTTCTTTGAGGTCAATCGATTATGGTTTCACCCTTTTGCCTTTTTCAGCTTTTTTTACTCTGCAGCCAAAAGCCAGAGAACTTTTGATTTGATTCCATAATTCGTTGAAATTGGATAAGGTTTGAACTGGAGGCCTTTTCCTTTTAGTTTGTTGAACAACGTTATTAAATAATATTTTGAATCGATCTTTTGATCCTTTGATCCCTTAAATATATTTGTTATTTTTAAATAAATGTAACCCCGCATAGGCAGAGTTCAACACTTATTTTCCCATATTTCTCTCACTGCATATAAGGCAAAAAAAATCAGTTTGAAGTATGAAATTCCCAAGCGTTCGATGGCTGACCTGCAGCCGATAAAGCTCTCATCTGCAAATTCTCCGATTCGCCAGCTTTTGGGCCCCCCAAGGCAAACATCACGTATACGCAGTGGTGTTTGTTCGCTGCCAGCGGAATACATTGTACGTCCTCGTCGCTGTCCTGATGCGTCCTTTGCCCGCGTAATTGTGCGTGCCAGCGACAACAAAGAGGCCAAAATCAGACAGGTCCTGCGAAATCCTTTCCTCCTTTTTTTCCCCGCCGTCTAGCACAGAAATTGGCCAACGACTACTGTGCGGGTGGAAGGATCTTTAACGGGACACTGGTAATTGAATATTGAGAATGTGGTATAAGCCCTTTCATTACAAGCTAGCTGGGCGACCCAGTTTCCATGTAATCATATCGATTTCCACCCAATCAATGACAACAAGTGCGAACAAATCGACAATTTCAGACCCTTTTATTCCTTGTTTGATCCCTGCACTGTTTGCTTGACTGTTATTGATAGCTTCTTCTGGCTGTATTTCATTCAATCATCGTCGGACTTGTGTTTGTCTCAAACAAACTAATTCAAATACAAAATTTATTTGAATTACTATAGTAGAAGAATTTCTATACTAGCTAATGATGAATTTATATTTGGATTTACATCTTGACAGAGTTTATTTTATAGAAAAAATATCCTAAGAAATTATATTTCGCTAGGTATTTCCCTTTAAAAATATATCCTTAGCAATTCAACTTGGTGACAACCTCATTTCCTGTCATCTATTAAGTCTGGCAAGGACAAGAAAAAATGCCAGCTTAAGTTGCGAACATTAATGCCTAAATGAACAAGGTTGTTTAGTAGCATTCCGTCATTTAAATAAAGTATTTGACATTCATTTATCGCATTCTTCCTCAGTTTGCGTGTGGGCACTGGAAGTGGCTCATTAGAGATGCAAAATTGTTGACAAATGAAGAGTTTACAGTGAATTCAAGTGGCACGCCAGGAAGAGAGTACGGAAAATAAAAGCAAAGCAGTATGGAAATGAGTAAATGTTGCCTTAGGAAAAGTTACCTCTAATTTAAATATACAAAGAAAACTATAGCTTAAGATAACAAGGCTTCTGCTTTCCCTAGAAAAATAGAAGAGGGTAAAAGTGTTTATTTACAATTTTGCATTGTGTAGATTGCTTCCGTTTTGAGCGGAAATTATTTGTGTTTCATCCTTGGAGGATACAAGACAGACACTCCATTCTTCCTGAAATACAAAATGATTAATTTAAGTTTTAAAGGAGGAAAAAATATTTTTCCAGGAATTAAATTTTCCCAAAGTAAGACAGTAACTTTAAGAAAGCAACGAACAAAGTTTTTTCTTTCAGTTCTCTGGCTCTTGAAGCCTTAATGAATTTGAGCTTGAATAATTATGCAAAATGAATGTTTTTATTGGACTGTTCTTGTGCCTGCTGACTAATTTATTCCGCTCACTTTGGCGTTGACGCCTTCTTGCCTTTGTTCTTTTTATACCCTTGCAGGGTATTATAATTTCAGTCAGAAGTTTGCAACGCAGTGAAGGAGACCTTTCCGACCCTATAAAGTATATATATTCTTGATCAGCATCAACAGGGGAATCTTTCTAGACATGTCCGGAAAAAATCGATTTTTTGGCCATTTTTGCAAAATTTTATAAGGGGTTACATCATTAAAATTAGCAGAAATGGCCAAAAATTTTGATTTCTTAAAATTTTAAATTTGGTATGCAGTTTTTTTAAATTAATAAAAACTAACACAAAACGGCTTTCCGAATCGAAATTAATGCATTTTTGGCTTATTTATGATATATTTTAATTTTAACCTGCGAGGGTATACAAACTTTGGCTGGCCAAAGTTAGCTTTCTTTCTTGTTTTGTTTTGTATTTAAAGTGTTTTTCTTTGCTTTCATTAAAAAAAAATGGTATATAGTATAGCCTGTTTTTCGCAGGAATCCTTCAAAGGTTTGCTAGGAAAACTAAATAAGTGCTGATTGTTATACAAATTAAAAAAATAAATATAAAATATACACATAAATATATATATATATATTTCTTTTTTCTCTTCAGATAACTAAAGGACAAATAAAACTGCTTAGGTAAATATTATTAATACATTACATATAACATTTTTATTTTATTTTATAGTATATACATCCTTCACACACATCCATCTCCACTTTTATGACTTAATTCATAGCGGAAATTCATTTCAATGCATTCCTTTGGTTCAGATTTAAGCCCCCATATTGCTCTTCATCTCCGAGCTACGAAATAAACCCAATTTCCTCCTTTTCCCCCAACCGTATTTGGAAATCTGCACATCCTGTTCCATTGCAACGTGAGCTTCCCTGTTGGCAGCCTTTTAATCAAACTTTGTCGGGTATCAGGAGTCACAGAGTTGAAGAGTAGAAGAGGTGGAGGGGTAGCAGGAGGAAGGACACTGACTGAAGGATCCACTTTTGCTGTGGCCGCAAACTTTCTGCCACAAGTTGCCTTGTCTATCGCAGCGACTCTGCTGCTCCCAATGGCTGAAAGGTGCACAATCAGCCAAAAATGACAGCCGACCAGGTCGAGCGGGGTCAACCTCGGGTCCCAAGTGAGCCTTAGAGCCCACTCTCTGCGCAACGATTAAAGCCATATTTTCATGGAATCGCTTAACAACAATGCCAATCATCCAATGGCCGTTGCTCCCTTTTGGCCTTTGTTAACGCTGCATAACGAAAATTAAATAACCGTGCTCGGCTTTTATTAACTAAAGTGTATTTTTGCCTCTGATGGGTTTTGCATAATGCACACACAAAAGAGGAAAAAATTATCCTGCTTTTGTTGAGTCCACTTTTATATGCGACGTATATTGAAATTATGTACGCACAGCAGCTTTGTGTATGAAAATTATATGAATTTTATTAATTTACCACATTTTTGATGATGTGGCTGAAATTATTTTTTGTCAGCCGTAAATTACATGTAATTTCTGGTTTAATTCTGGGTAATAATGAGTTTGTACCGAAAAAAGAAATTAATATTTTGATTTAATGTGAGATAAAGTCGGGAAACCCTGGAAATATATTCAGTTAAGCATTCAAACTGGTTTAGTGGGTTAAAAATTAACTAAAAATCTATTAAAGACCGACTTAACTTAGTTTATTTATGTAGTATATACTCACAGGAATACCCCTTATTGTTTTCCTTAGTCAGCAAATCAATATACTCCTATATACAGAATATCAAAAAACATACTAATTCAGAGTCGTAACCCGTTGAGTATCAGGAGTCAAAACATCAATCGCCTGCACAATACTTATTTTTATTTTACCCGCAAAGCGGACAACGTCAACTGATGTTTTATTTATGTCAAACCTTTCGTACAGCTGGAGGCCTCAACTTCCTGGTTTTTCCTTGCCGTTTTCCGTTGTTTTTTATGCCTCGCCTTGGTTTTTTATTGCGTGCCGTCAATCCCTCAATAAACTCCTTGGCCCCATACCTTTTGTTGTTTGCGGTGGCTTCGATTTTATTTCGATTTTGTGGCGTTGGCGTTGCCTGCCATTTTGCCAGCGGAAGAGGACGTCGACATGGTTGGGTTCATTACTCCAAGTTCCGTTGCTGTTGATTTTCAATTATTTTTATTGACTTAAGTTATAATGCACTGTGGCCTTGGCAGCCATTTTTTTGTGATTACACTTGCCTTGGCTTTTCTCTTCTTTTTTCCCAAGCCAAGCTTACCACATTTGTGTAGTTTTTCCGCCTTTTCATGGTGCGTTTGACTGAATCCACTTGGCTTGTTTTTGGCATGACCGCTTATTGAAAAACTTTGCACCCGCCTGGCCCAAGAACAAGTTCTTAAGTCGAAAGTTTTCCTTAAATGGCAACAACTTTTTGCATTTTCAGCAGCAGTTTTATAATTTCATGCTGTTTTCACCCGGGGGCGGCGGTAAAAAAGTGTTTCGCAAGTTCATTATTTGTTCGGAGCACGCCTTAATTATTTTAGCATTTTCGCACGAAGACAAATTGAATTGTCTGCTACGGTATGAATATTTCCATTCCGGCAGTTCATTTTCAAGGAAAAGACTGTAAGAGATTTAAATAATTAATGGAAGTTTTTAGTAGTTCAGCTGTGAGCTGCTTTTAGCTGTGAGTTGCTTATTTGTGTTAAAATTATGTTACTTCCGATGGAAATCTTTAAAATTCTTAAAGCGGATAACATAGAAATTTCCTAGAAATAAGTGAACTTATCCTTTTTATCCTTAAATCACACTATGGCAATTACTTGGCTCTTATTTAATGATGAAAATTGCAGTTTTTCCCACTAAAGAAAAGCCTCAGAAAAGATATAAGTAGCATATAACCACCATGAAAGGTTCTTTTCATTAGACTTTGGACTGGAGTTACGCCGCCTGAAAAGGCTACTCCGCCGCGAAGGATTTTTTTTTTACTATGGCGAAGAGAATTTGCAACTATTCAGAGTTGCCAGTTGCATACTTTGCGGCGTTCCCTAAAGTTTGTTTGCAAAATGTAGAGAAAAAATACAATTTTTCTGTGCCGCTTGGCTATCTCAAATTAAAATAAATATGCACTGAAATAAAATGTTAAAAATACGAATAGGGACAGAAGGAATGAACTCTTGCGGCTTAGTTTGTGGTTTTCTAGTTTTTTTATCCCTTGAACTCTTGGCCACAAAATGTCTGCAGTTCTGCAGTCTGAATGCACTTTGTGTGATGAGAAAGCCGTCTCTCTATCTGATGGTACATTATCTACTTATTATTCTCATTTTTTCCTTATGATATCCTATGAACTAGTTCATGAATTAAGTATGAACAATTACACACGTTTTAAGAGATAATTACCCAAGGAAAAGGGTTTGACATTAGCTTGACTTTCTCATATTTCTAAAGTCAAGTGTGTAAATTAGTAAATTAGCAGAAATTAGATATACTAATGGTCTTGCAGTTATTTGGAATTCCAAATTTCTGAGATTAAAATGCTTGTTAGAGCTGCCAAGAATTTTCTTGCCCAGAAAGCAATCCCATTTAGTGGAACCACCTTCTCAGGGCTGGTAGTTTTAAGGTCAGCCAGACATACATACAAGCCATTTGGTAGCCACAGAACTGCCAAGCCCTCAGAGCCCACTTTGAGTGCCTTAATATCTCTGTGAAAAATTTAAATTCACCCATTTACAGAATTGTTTTTTCCGGTCAGAGGAGCAGCATTAATTAACTGAACTTAACACGACGGTATGTGGATTGTGGATGTGGCCCAGAGGTGTCTGAATAAAATGAATTGCCGGTTGGTTAGACCGAATTACTTTCTGTTTTTCGCTCCGAAAGTTTCCCTTTTTCTCAGGGCTTCGTGAGACAGCTCACTCAGTTATTCAATATGTCATTCCGTCATGCCGGCACACACACACACAAACACACTCAACTTTAAATTGAGTTTCTTCGGCAGAAGTTTGCAGCAGACAGCGGGGAGGAGCAGATACCGAGATAGTAGTCGTACCCGCCAGGAGTTTGAGTTTGATAGAGAACTTTTCCTTTTGGCCTCGGTCCGTCGTGCTTTGTGCAATGTGTTGATTGCTATTTTGTTATTCATGGAATTGCTTAAAAATTTAGATTGCCAAGTAACTTATAAACTTCAATTCGTCGTCTTGGGTGCTTTTCCGCTATTTGTTTCTAACTGCAAATCTGAAAAGCGGATTAAGCGTGTTTTTCTTTGGTCAATGGGAGGTAATAACTTGAAAAAAGACAGAGTTCCGACCTGGTGGAGCTTTTAAAAATATTAAAAAAATATAATACAAACTGAAGACTAGCTTGAAAGAAGAGCAGCAAGTGGCTTGGAGATACTCTTAACCACCTGGACAGGATTTAAACCTGTTGACTGCTTCCTTTGACCACTCAACCGTGTGAGCATCGAAAAAAAAAGGTGTCTGAGACCACAAAAGAGCCTCGATGTTGCCTGCTCAACCAATTGCGGTCGAGAGTCATTGAACACTGCATAGACAGACACACGCCGTAGCTATGATGAAGAAGGTCCTGTATAGTATACCTCGAATCGATGTCAACGACTTTTATTACAATACCATCACGCCCACAATTTGCCAAGGAAAACAGCGAGGGGTGGAAATATGGAAACCGGGCTAAGCTATTTTGCATGCAAAAAGAGAAAAATATAAAACAGCTTGCCTGCAGTCTGTGGCCTTTTCCACTTATCTTGAGACGCTCTTATTAAAGTGGCAATTGGTCTCAATTCACTGACTTGGACAGCTTGAAATGTGGCCAGGGACTGAAGCTATATTAAATTAATTTTCAGGAATTTAATAGGCAGCCAGAGAATGGTTAGAGAGGTAATACAAGTTATGGAAATTAGAGAAATAATTTAAATAAAGTTAACACTTTTTGTGATCAACTAAATTTCATTTATATTTGAGTTTTCCAATTAATAAAGCTTAATTTAGACTGCAACTCGAAATTCTTATATTAAAAATGAATACAAATGAAACATTTTAATGAAATTGATTGCTTCCATCCCCTTGGTAATTGATTCGATCCGCATTTGTGGTGTCACATTTCGACTGCCTGGCTTCCTGAATATACAACATATATTTCCGCACATGTAACAAGATTTAATTCCCCAAACCAGAAAGCACACATTTTTAAATTGGCTTCCACATATGTAGTTCCCATTGATTGAAAAGCTTAAAACAAAAATAGCCAAAACACTTAAGCGACGGTGGGCATGGCAATAAGCTCCCATTGAGAATGTCTCAAATGTGGTCCCACAGTGTCATGTGATGTGGGACCCATATCACTAGTAAGCTCCCTTTGACCCGAACATAAATCGACATTTATTCCGGCTACCGATTTGCCATCGCCTTGCGTGCGTCCCAGACATTTCTACGGCTAAAAGGTTCTACGGGAAACGCACGGCGCATAAATAGTGGAGGTCGTTAGGAGTTAATTGGCCTTGAAGGCACGTACCCTGAAATTATGAGCAACGAGCTGCATAAAACTTAAGCGCTGCCATCTTGGTCCTGGTCAGCGTTTACAAATATTTGCCCACTTAATTGATTCAATTTGCATGCTGAGTAGTTTTCGGTCCAAAAATGCCATTAAGTAAACAAGTCAACAATTTTTAATGAAATTTTCCTGAGGCCTGATGAGTTTTCACCCTCAGGGTGTAAATTTTAGTGAAAAATCAAGGAAAACATGACATTAGGGCGACCATAACATTATCTTTTATTTCTGTAATTTGGAAAAATATATATTTAAACTTAAAGAGTGTAATTTTTCCTCTAAAATCAGCTTAGATCCAACTTTTATTGCCAGATTGTTAGGGTTATGACATGCTCTGCCATTGCCACTGCACCATTCCCAGCTAACTGCAGTTGCGAATTGCAAATGCGACTCTCAGTTTTCCCATCCCCGCGAAAATTGCACTAACGCTGCAGTTATGCAAATTTAACCCAAATGAGACTTTCCCTGCGAATGTGTGTGTGTGTGTGTGCGATGCGTGAAATTAATTTCTCCCTCGAGAGAACCAGGTACAACCGAATTAAAGGTGAGCTCCCGTTCGGCTGGATGAAAGCCGTGTGTTAGCTTTTGGGGTCAGGGCACGCCGCAAGGTATGCAATGGCAGATTACAAAGTTTATTTCGGGGAAAGTACAATTCTTTTTTTTTGGTCAGTAATAACAATGAATTAATAGCCCTGTGGCTGTTCTGGGAAGTTAGAGAATAAGCCATAAGGAAGCCAAAAAGAGTTTAAAATATGTAGAGGGTCATGTTAGCTTCTTGATAAATATTATAGTATTATTGGATAAATTATGAATGATTTGGAAAAGAGTTGATGTAGTACAATCCTTTCCCAACTTCTCGTAAAGACCTTCCCTTAGGCTAATTCCAAGAAAGTCTATATATGTGCTCCCAGGATAATAAATAATGACACCCTTTCAAAAAGGCTGCATAAATCCCATTCTTCATAAAACCCTCACTGGGCGGAATGTGTTAGCGATTGATTATTGCCTAATCGCAAATGGGAAGCCCTTACTCACAGTCTACCATCATGATAAATCATTTCAAACAGAGACAAAAAACCTACCCCACAACATGCAGGGCCTCCATAGGTAGTGGGTATTTCCATCCTACGCCTCAAAAATTCCCCCTAGGTGTTGGCCGCCCAATCAAAGCTGACCCTGGGCCTAATGAGGTCCACACTCCACTCCTCGTCCTACCCGGCACTGCTGCCATTTACAGGCAGATTAAGAAATTAATGGCCTACAATTGAGCGGGCTACTTTGTCAAGGGAGAAGATTCGGGGATAACTTTGCCTTCATTTTTCATTTTTAATGTTCGCCACGGGCAAAGTTGGGTCCATGAATACGCGATTAGGTTGCACAAACTTTATTAAAAATGCCGACAATCCACGAAGTCGAGTCGGGGAGATTTCAATTTCGCAGCGGAGACTAATTTAATGTCCTGCCAAAGGAGAAAGGCCACATTGAGGGCTTTTAATTGTTCGCCCGTACACATTCGCACGGGGGGCGCTCGCCCCCTTTATTGACTGCCCCTTTGGCTTTGTCATAAAACTTTTGTGGCAGCAGCTGGCCAAGGAAGTTGACGGCTGTTCGCCTGGCTGCCTTCGTGGCTGATTCGATTGTGGCCCAGTCAAAGCGACAAAATTAAGTAAGTACGGCCAAGGAGCACGGGCCAAAGGATGCTCTCCTTCCACGAAACGCGGATGGATGGTCGTTAAACGGGGACAATGGCCACATCGACTCCTGGCTGGAAGTGAGAGACAATGCCCTGTTTCGACACAGAGAAAAATGCAGTCAAACAGGTTATAAGAATATTTTTGATACCTCTCTACTACTCTACTGACTTTTCTCTCCGTGTACTTGTATTTATGGGGCACAGACCGAGAGGATAGTGATGCATATTGAACGCTGGCAACACAATGAACAAAAGGTAAACTTCATTTGGCCCAAAGACAAGGAGCGGGGCAAATGGCTGAGGTTGGGGCTGGGGGAGACCAGCTTCCGTTTCCGTCAACACTGCCAGTGGATGCCGTTTCCGGCCAACTTGGCTTTCAGCCAGGGTAATATGGCTCGGAAAGGGGAATGGGAAAATGTGTTTGGCAGCTCGTTCGACTGCTTAGTGGCTAATTTGCAAATAGATGAAAATGCGCCACACAATTATAGCTCTGGCAGCAGCCTCGATGCTGATTGGAACTCTTGGGATTTAATTATAAATTTCTTCACCACCTCCACCAGCTCCACCGTGTCACACGGCCGCCTGACTTTATTAGCTTTGTTACTGTGTTGCTCACCTCTCGGCCTCCGTTTAATAAGGAAACGTAATTACATTAGCAGAGCCCATCTGACACACAAGTGACAGGAGTTCGACGGGATAGGCCAAAATGTCTGCGGGCAAATGTCTGACTGCCACACCCACAAAACCCGACACTCGACTCACACACCCTCAAAACACTCAAAATCGCATAATTAATGCACACCGCTTGCGGTGGCCCGGAACGTTGCACATACGCCCCGTGGGCCACACGAAAAGTGTGTGGCCGTGCCATAATTTGCCATAAATATTGATCCAAAGGCTATGCATATCGAGCGTCAGTGCAGTTCCAGCAATGATAATATTTATCTGTCATGATGACAGATTCGTTAGCATAGCGGCCGCCTGGAAAAAGAGATTGATGGAATTATTGCAGCTGTCAGGGAAATTCCTCTTCGACTTTTCCACTTTGTGTTCTTTAAAGCCGCAATGGGTCACGCCCAAAATCGCTTTAAGCCCCACGCTCTGGCCCCATAAATTGTGTTTCTCGAGCTTAGCTACAGTTTCAGTCCGTAAGTCAGAATCATTTGTCATAATTCGAGTTGCCCCAGGCCCAGAGCGGACCCCAAAATAAAACAAAAAAAAAAGCCAAAGAAAAACACAACCCCCCGAAAAAGTTGACCCAACAACACCTTGGGCCAACGAAGTGGCCATTAAAAGTGCCAACAACAAACAGGCAACAGAAATCGACAGGGGAACCGGGAACAACTCGGGGAGCACATGGCCAATATTCGACACGAAAATCGACTGAAAAGCAATTATTTACACTTCGGCAATAAAAATATGGAACAAAAAAAAAACTGGAAACATGAAACAGAAACAGACCGTGGGCGGCATTGTGTCAAAAGTGCGTTCTGCAATTTATTACCTTTAATTTTTCTTGGCCGAGTGTCCTGTCCCTCCGCCAGGGCTCCTTTGTCATATTTTTGTCTGGAATTGCATTTCTGCGGATTGTGGATATAATTTTTATGGCCATTGCCTTCGTTTATACTTTTCGTTTCGTTTCAACTTTTTTATGGGCTCTCGAGAACGCTGAGCCGGAGATTTTCAGCGGGAAATCGAAAAACTTTTTAAGCTTCTTCAATTCACTTGTTAATTTTAATCCCTTTCGCCGGTTTCCCTCCCCTTGCAGAGACCGCACCGCCGCCTGAGAGGAAGCCCGTGGAATGTCCGCAATCGGTCAACCAGTGAGTCCTGCGAGTCCTGTGTGAGTGCCGAGTGAGATTGAAAGATGGCGGCGGCCAGTTCAATTATCGAATCCATAGCCATTTTGGCCCTGCTGCTCGGATTTTTGATTCGAAGTGGTGAGTGGAAAAGCTGAAAGCTGTATTTTTTAAATTTTCAATAATTAATTGATTTCGCTCTTTAGGCTACTGCATAGACTGCTTCAAGTGCGTTTCCTACAATGGCGCCAACAAGGCCTGCGACGATCCGTTCCACAACAACTACTCCACGGCCATCCTCGAGTCGCCCTGCATGGGCGGTAGGAAGGGGCGGGACGGCCTATTTCCGGCCACTGCCTGCATCAAGATCGCCGGCTATTATGGTAAGTGGAGTGATGGATGGACTCCTTCTTCATCTTCGTCCTTCTAATTTCCATTTATCTGCAGATGAAACCGGGGAGACGATAACGGTGAGGGGCTGCGCCCTGGACAGTGGCACCCTGACCACCGACACCGAGATCATAAGAATGTCGCACTGCGGAAAATTCTACTACGATGACAAGTGAGAATTTAGAATATTGTAGGAGACTTTACGCAAGGAGAAATCAATCAATATTTTTTTTATTATTTCCAATTGCATCACTTGTTACCCTAATATTTTCCCCTGTGTATCAAAACCATAACTTAGCATTAACAGAGTCATTTCCCTGCCGCAGATATGTGCACGGCTGCCTGCAGAGCTGCAGCGATGCGGATGCCTGCAACTCGGCCAGGAGGCCCGGCCAGAATCCCCTGGATCTGGAGGCACTGATGCGGCACCTGCTCAGCCTGGCGGTGCTCCTGGTGGCCACCGCCAGGTAACAGTACCAGTGAGTGGAGCTACGGGAGCTATGAGGCAGCGAGAAGGCATTTAATTCGACTCGGCTGCTAGGGAATGGGAATCCTTATCTTTTGGCGACTCTCCTCCTCTACGAATCTCTCTCGCACCTAACAGTAAACGCACCCGACAGCCAGGACACGCTCAACACCCACACAATCTTACGAACACACTCACACACCCAACATTATGGAATTCATCAAGCAATTATGTGATTTATAAATGAATACTTAACAACTATCTAACAATAATTGATGAACGCGAACGAAACTATTTAGATGCTAAGCATTCGAGAGTAAAAAATCAAAGGAAACGTGCAACCTAAATTCAAATTCTAATTGCAATTATTTTTAGCTTCTAAGGAACAGAACCTAGACTTTAAATGCTGTCGCCGCAAGAGTGTTTTTCGAATTATATATACCGATGCGTTTTACCCCGACAGAAATAAGTATATTTGTTGCCTCTCTAGACAAAAGTATTGTACATATACAACAATTTAAATTTAAATTTCTTTCACGAATGCTGAATTTTGGGCAAATTATAAATTATAAATAGTTATGTGTAAATGAATTAGTGGGTTAAATTAGCAAACGAAAACTGCGAGTCAAGGGAAGGAGGAAAAAGTTATCTCAAAGGTTTACCCTTGAATGTTAAGGATTCATTCACAAATTTAAGTACAAAAGAATGTCATTTCTATTTTTATAAATTTCTATCAAGAAAGATAAGTATCCCTACTTGGAATTAAAACTATTGTCTCAAGTGTTTTCCAAGTCTTAATAATTTTCCCTTCTAAAAGAAATATTGTTTAAAATTTTTAAGGCCCCCCATTCCGGACCTGCCTAAGCTTTAAATCAAGCCATAAATGTCGGTCATAAATGACACCATTCTCAACTCTATAAACTTCTGTATGTCTGCAACTACTAATACTTGCCGCCGCTGTTGAATCACCGACTGATTGGTTATCTGGTCTCGCCCGGATAACCGATAAGGTGAACAGTATCGCCGGGCCAAGTACCGGCTATGATCAGACTAGCTTAGTACATTCTAGCAGCTCTAAAGACATGGACGGTAAGCCCCAGGCGCACTCCTTTGTTCCGATGGAACCTTTCGATTAAAGCGAACACTTCCCCTCCCCTGTAGGTAACAATTGGCTCCACTTCAGTCACGGCGCTATCCCCCAGGAAGCAGTTGTGGCTGGCCACGATTCCGATGGCGACACCATCTTCATTGGCCGGGCTTTCTACTGCAACGACTTGCTGCCGGCCAAGATTATTCCCAACAAGGGAAAGGCATATGTGGCCTATGCCAACCAGGAGGTGGAGCTGGAGAACTACGAAGTCCTGAGCGGCTCCAACTACGTGTGGCTGTCGGCGGAGAATGGCGAAGTTCCGCCCGGAGCTGTGCGTGTGGGCCAGAATGTCGATGGAGAGGCGCTGTATGCCGGAAGGGGCTATCATGCCGGCAGCCTGACTGTGGGCAAGGTTCATCCCTCCCACGGCTGCCTGTACATTCCCTACGATTCTGAGGAGGTGAAAATCTTTGCCTACGAGGTGCTGTCGCGTCGCATGGAGGCGAGATAAATGCTCCGGTTACTGCCTGTTAATCACAAATAAATTCAACACTTTTTATAAAAGCTCGTGGGATCTAATCGGTTTTTAGCTGGCCATAAAACTTTACTATCTCAGTGGTTATTCTAAATGATTGTCGAGGTGTTTTTGGTTCTATATATAAGTAAACATTTCTTGAAATAACATAACAAGCTTCCCCGAGTACCTTTAAATCGCAGTTTTCGATCAACGCCCAATTATGCAGGAAACAGTTCTAAGTTAACAAAACCAAAAATAATGTTGAAGTAAAGCCACTCTCATTAACGACTAGGTTCTAAACTCGCTAACTTACACGTAGCCTAATTATATAATTGTAAAGTCTAACTAAATTTTGATACGGAGACGAAGGCGGAGAACCAATAGGACCAAACTAAACAAAGGCTAGGGAAACGACGGCAATAGATTTTGATAAACGCAAAACGAACATCTCGATGATGTTTTCGTCCTTCAGTTGGAATTGTTCGTGTTTAGTCTTTACTTTTAAAACATTTTTCGGACTAAGCGAGCTTGCAATGGTTTCCGCAAATGAAAAATCAACAACTATGTATAAACAAATGGAGGAGTTTTGATAAAATCGAATGAATATAAATATGATATTCAGATGGTTCACATTTTTCTCTCTGCTGAAATCGCTTGCTTGCAAACGTTAACTAAACGCAAACTAATCAAAAGCAAACCACTCAATACGCACCTATTAAAACCTTGATAAAAACAAGATGCGTAACGCTATACGATTTAACGTTATGCATCTTGTTATTACAAGCTCTTTAAACCCACTATTGGCCAACAAAGAAGGCATCTTATTCTCAACTCACAAACACACAATGAACGACCAAGCAAAGTTTGTAAAAAAGAACACAAGAGTACATTAAACGTTTCATGGCAAGCCAGTTGCTAAGCATTTTTGAAGGCAAATGTATCTAGCACTTAAGGAGAACTTTATATATATACAATTGTGGTGGATTAACGGTAATTAGATAAACTAGATAACGACGCTACTTGAACTAATCAAATTTAATTGAAAATCGAAATTGTTTCTCTTGCATTTAAATGCGTGCATATGACCTTTTCTAGAGCAACACTTTTGGGCAACTGAAACTATCATCATTTCTGAATAAAAAACTGCATACATATATTGAAAGTTCTACGAGTTTCACTAAAATTAGGCGTATTTACAAACAAGAATGGGGAAGAGTCCTTTAATCCAGCAAAGTCTTTACATATTCGGCATCCTCCTGCACGAATTTCTCGGCCTGATCTGCCGGCACTTCAACGGTTTTGTAGTTGTCCAGGCCTATCTCTTCCTCTTTCCTGAAATTAAAGATGATCTTAGTTATGGGTGTCTTAAAGGTTAATGAAAGTCACAAACTTGATCAGGATGTCCACCACATTCTCGCAGGCCAGCAGGCAGTCGCTGTCCCTGCCCACCTTGGCCTCCCACTTGTGGAACTCCCGCAGAATCTCGTAGGTGCCCTTGGCCCTCAGGATCTCCCGGCTGCGACGAGTGGAGCATAGTTGCAGCAGGCACTCCAGAAGCATTTTTCGTAGGTCGGGGTCCTCTTCGCGGGTCTTGCTCTCCGGCAGATACTGCAAGGGCAAGCAAAAATATATATCCCAAAAAATCTCTAGTAAATTAAAGCTACTCACCTGCAGTTCAATGGGCAGCTTGTCGTTGTCCTCGTCGCTAAACTCCTCAGGCCCGCACAGTGGCTGCAGTATGGCCACCAGGATGCTGTCCTGTTCGTTGAGAATAACATCGTGATAGACCGCATCGAAGCAGACGTTTTTCAGAATGCCAATGGTGCCACCGCGTCGGACAACGCTACCCTCAAAGGAAGCAAAGGGCAGCAGCTTCTCCAGCAGCTTGTAACGGTTGTGGCAGCACAGCTCCCTGCCCCGCGGCACCTGCATCAGATTGCAGAAGACGGGCGCCAGGTAGTGCAGCTTGCACTTTTTCTTGTTGTAGTCCAGCTGAGCAAAGGCCTTGGCCAGGCGTGGCAGTGTCTGATCACCGCGCTCCAAGATGTCTAGAATTTCGTGAACCAGCGACTCGACGCGCGTTAGATTGCTGAGAACCATGCTCCAGGGATCCGCCAGAACGGACTGCTCGTCTGCTATAGCCTTGGCGGCCACGTCCACGATGGGAAATGTCTGGGAAAGGTATTAATAGTTATGCTAAAGGCTGCTCCTTGTCTTGAAGATTATTAAAACCCACTGGTTGCACTTGTTTGGCCAGTCGGAACACCTGAACGGCACCCTCCTCCTCGGCGGTCAAGTTAATCAAACTCAGCACTGCGTCCTTGGCCACAGTGGGGTTTTCGTCGTAGGTAAGGCCGAAAATGGCCATTAGCATTTCGTCCAGCGAAAGTATGGCTGATTTGCCCTCCGCGCTGCCAGTTAAACCTTAAAAATTAAGAAAAATAACAATAAATATTGCCGCGTGACGTCACAGGTGCCCACAACAAACGCACGTGCATGCAGGTGCTTTTTGTTTTCTTTAAAACTTACCTAAAACATGTGTCAGCGCCACTGCCTTGAGGTCCAGACGTTGATTGGGTTGCATAAACTGTACTAGTTCTTTTACGGTGTCCATTTTAAGCGTTTTTATTGCTAAATTTACGAATTTGTTTTTATTTTGCGGCGCGATTAGAGATGCCTTACTTACAACTTATCAGTGCTGGCAGTTTGGCGATTTATAGCTAATTCTAGGCAAATTTAGCTATCTGGTACTTTTGGTCGCTCGGACCGAAAAGTCTGGCAGCGCTGGTAGCTCGTGCAGCAGCGACCAACGTTGCCAGACTGTCAGTGAACGAGTACAAAAGCTAGTGTTGTATAGCAACAAGTTTGCCACACGCAACATTCACGTAACCCAACAAACAAAATTATGTTTGAAGCCTTGCAGATCATTTTCGACTTTATAAACCTGATATAACCCTAATCAGTATCAGTATCGACAGGCAAGTTGATCTGATATGCTAGATAGAAAACAAATTTTACTTATTTTTTTTTATAAGAGCTTACATAATAAATATTTTCTAAAATTCTAAATCGATGATCAGCGTTGTCAACAATACTAAAATAATAACAACTTTTAATCTAGACAAATTGTGGTGCTTAAAACTAATAGATGCCATAATAAAATTTTTAAAACAAGTAAAACATCAGTAACATAACACCGACACTGGGACAGACAGCCGATTTTTGTACGAAAATTCAAAATTTTTATTAAAACCAAATCTCTTTTTAAAAAAATAAATATTAACTATTAAAATAAACATTTTAAATTTAAAATAAAAATATTACTTTATTATTACAAAATAAGTTACTCTGTAAGAATTGTCTTCTATTATATTTATATTCATTTATTTTATTTTAATGATTAAAACATATACAGTGTATTTATGAGATATTGTATATAAATATTTTAAAGATACGTATCCTTGCTAGTGCAAATTATTAAAATTATAACGAGCTTAAAGTATTTGTTAAGCCTACTCATGGGCAAAGATCTCACTCAAGTCCTTGTCTCACAGTAAATATTGCTTATATGCTCAAGCTACAGTGATTATGCTATATTATTTCAAATTATATAACTAAATTTCCAATTTCTGTCAATATCTCAAGCAATTAAATATTTTTAAACTGCAAATATAGTAATAATGGCATATAATGGGTATATACTGTACTTTTAAAAGGGGAAACGGAAATGCTCCTAAAGCTAAAGTTTCACAGAAGGAAACAACTAACAGAGTTTCATGTCGATTACACTGGGAATCGAATAATCGATGTATGCCTATCGTTCGCGCAGAATTCTTTTGTCATTTGTAAAGCACGTTTTTCGGGGAAACCCGAATAAAAGATTCCTTTTCCGACCGAGCGACGAGTTTGATCAGAACAGAAACGTCTTCAACCATGGACTTCAACGCGGAAATTCAGTGTCTACAGCGAGGAGTAGCCGAGCGGGATGAGTTACTCTGCGAGCTGGTGGAGATTCTCCGGGACCACGAGCCTGGCTTAAAGCGCGTGCTTCAGAGCATTTACACCCTGGTGCAGGACAACCTGCTATGCAGCACCCAACTTGTGCACAAGGTAATCTTGGCTGTGATCTCTGGCAGCCAGGAAGAGGCATCCGAGCGCCGCCGCCTGCTGGCCAGAGCCCTCGTCTGCGTCCAGCTGCAGCTGCGCAGAATCCCTGCCGACGACGGCGCGCTCGTGTTGCAGGAACTCCTAGCCAGGGCTTCGGATGATGTTCATCCATATGCGGGCCAGATTTTGGAACACCTGTTCAGTGACTTTGTGCGTGTGCTGGGAGCAGACTGTTTCCTGCGTCTGCTGGACGCCACTCGAACCATTTTGCTGTCAAAGGAGCCACAGGATCGGAAGTCATCCTACTTTCTCATCAGCAAGATCCAAAGGATGTGTGAAATTGATGGAGAGCATAGCGAAGCCTTGCTAAATGGTTTGCAGTGCAGTGCCCAGCAGTGGATCGCTTTTGCGGTCATCGTGTCAGTCTTGGAAGAGCAGGATCCAAACCTGATTGGGGGTACACTCGAGACGCAGCTACCCCAGCTGCAGCTGATGTGCAGCGATCTCGGAGAGCGTTGGCTGGCATGGCTAAGAACCATTTGCATTAGACTCCTGCAGGAGGACAGAGTCCAGGTGCTCCGCAAAACCCTGGAATACTTTCTGAGCCACCTGAGTGTAGAGCACCTCTGCCGCTTAGGCCTGCTGCCCGAGTTCCTGATGGCCACCAACAGAAGCCAGTTGTTTAATTATGAGGATGACAACTGCCTCAACGAAGAGCAGGTGAAGCAGTTTGTGGCGAAGGGCAATGTGGAACTCCTCCTGGAGGCACTGGTGGTAGTTTCTTGGGAGAACGTTCCTCTGCTCGTCTGGATTCTCAGTTTAAAATCTGAACAAGTGGAGAGTGTTCCTAAGGAGCTGTTTATTAAGCTGTGTCTTAAAGTTCAGACCATCGACAACAGTCTTCTTCAAAACGGAGCTCGAATTCATTTAATGTTGATATTCAAGGTACAACATTTTAATTGCGTTAGTTTAAGGACAATGATATCACCTTTTAATTTCAGGACACAATCGACTGTTTCTCTTTGAGGGATTACATGGTCTGCATGGAATCGTTGTTTAACAAGGGGGATCCATTGCGTGACTCCCAGCGATTACAAGATAAAATCGCAAACTGCACAGATTTTGAGGAGCATATAGACTGCTTTAACCAGAGATCCTTTGACATTTTTTTCCGTTATATTATTTTTGATAATTGGCAACCAAGTCTTTCACATACTTTATGCTCGAAAATGGGAAATCTTCCCAAACATAAACATGGCTTTTTGCGCTTTGTGTTTATTACTAAACACGATAAATTATTCACCAACTTTTATCGGAAGTTTTACAACGTGGACACATCGTTGCTTCAAACGGGAAAGAGTCTCGAGGAGATTCAAGTGCACTTGCTGGACAGGCTGGACTGCCAAACTGACGAGGAGACATCCTTCCTGAAGGCACGATGCGTGGACCTCTTCACTTTGAACTTGGATTCATGGGGCCAGTTGGAGGAACTAAACTTAGATCCCCTGGAGCTGATGGAACAAGGAACATATGATACCATTTTTGCTTTAGCACGCTTATTGAAATCACATCGGAAACGAGTTACGGACGAGACGGTATTGCCAGCTCTGATGTCGCGTATTAAATTTGAAGATGATCTGTAAGCTATTACCTTATAAACCGGTTTTTATACCCTTGCAGGGTATTATAATTTCAGTCAGAAGTTTGCAACGCAGTGAAGGAGACGTTTCCGACCCTATAAAGTATATATATTCTTGATCAGCATCAACAGCCGAGTCGATCTAGCCATGTCCGTCTGTCCGTCCGTCTGTCCGTTTCTACGCAAACTAGTCCCTCAGTTTTAAAGCTATCTGAATGAAACTTTGCATAGAGTCTTCTATATACTCTCACTGCTATATATGTCGGAACGGGCCGGATCGGACGACTATATCATATAGCTCTCATACAAATGTTCGATAAATTTTTAGAAACAAATTATAACATGGCTGTTTTTCAATATTTTTGCATCTTTTTTGAGATATAGCCATTTTATATTATTCCAGAATTTTGGTAAAAATTTTATGAAAATCGGACGACTATATCTTATAGCTGCCATATGAACGATCGGAAAATGAATAGGAAAAAAATTATAACTTCGTTGTTTTTCAACATATTCTGATTTACTTTTAGAAATATATAATATAATATAAACATCAAAACCAATATATTTCAGAATTTTGGTACAAATTTTATGAAAATCGGACAATCATATAGCTGCCATACAAACGATCGGTAAATGTAGAGAAAATGTAGAGCTGGGAATGTAAAACTGTAACTGTCAAACTGTAAACATAATAAGTATAGGTAAAATGTAATGAAACTCTGTTTTGTGAGTGTTTTCAGCATTTAAATTTATAATATAAACATCAAAACCAATCTGCAAGGGTATACAAACTTCGGTGTGCCGAAGTTAGCTTCCTTTCTTGTTTTTATAATCATTGAATTTTTCCTCAGTAAAAATGTTGTGGACTACGCATACAAGAATTTAACCGAAGAAGAATTTGAAAGCGTCACTATTAATATCATTATACAAAAGAAAAGTGTTTGCTTACCAGACGAAAAACTAAGTATTTCCCTGTTTCTGAAACTGCTGCTATATGGAGAACCCACCACAGGAATGGCACGGTGAGTTAGCTGAAATTTCTTAAATTTTCTAAGTCAACTTGGTGACAATTTTAACCATTCTCCTAGCATTGAGGAAGCTTATGCATACAACACCTTGCATTTCGTCGAATCATCTGCAGGAGTTCGATATAATACTTTATTGCATTTAGAAGAGTATACAAATTATCAAATGAAATCTCAAGTGTTCAAAGAACTTCTAAGAATTAACGGAAAGCTGTCCATAGAGCATCCCCAGTACACTGAAAACTCCAAAGTGCACAGGCAAAAGATGCGAATTGCCTCTGCTTTGATTGAACTTCGCCGCTATTGCGATGATCCAAAATCTTTGGAGACTTTATTGTTGCCCAACGATCAGCTCGGGATAAACATTATGCACGAGTTCCTGGTAGGCGATTGTGTGAAAAACATCGATTGGGCGTTGGATGCATTACCAAATTTGGAGCCAAGGCAACAGGAATCATATCTCTCCATCGCTTATATTTTCATTTCTAAAAATTTGGAAAAACTTAACAAAAAGAACAAATTATCTGAAATATTTTCGCTTCTTCTACCGTTCATAATGGGATCCACTCGTTCCACGCGCATTCTCGCTCAATTGATCCTCCATAAATTAGCAGTCAAGTGTAAAGAAAAAAGGTAACGGATAGCACAATTCTGATTCAATATTATAACTTTTTTATTTAAAGTTTTTGTATTCACCTCGCCGAAGTCCTGGTACAAAAAGTAGAAAAGTCGTTGGGGGAAAAGCTTCCCGACCTTCAAAGTGATCCTCGGCTTTGGCTCGCAGAATTAACCATGGATTATGATATGTCAGACTGTATTTTGTACATAACAAATCCGCCCTTCGATGAAATCGGTACTCGTTTCAGTAGTTCCACTCATGGACGACAATATAACAGGTGTGTTTTCTTTTTCTTTGTTAACTTTATACTTCTAATCCATCTCTTTTCTAATCTGTGTGTATTATAGATTCAAAAAGATTGGTCAAGCATTTGCTGCAAGCAAATTGGCATCATCCGGGGAAGTCGCACCTCCTCAAACCCGTTCCGAAGGACTCACACTCCCTCCCACGGATGCTAACAATTCAGGCAAGGCCGCTGGTCTGGAACTTATATTAGTGGCTTCTCTTCTTGGCGGGGAAATCAATTTCCCAGCACTGAGGCGCACCTGCGAGAAGTTTGGATTTCATTCTCTGGTTGTAGCCGATGAATCACATTTGGCGGAGGCTAGTTCTGGCAATTTAAGGTAGGAAAAATAATTGTAAATCCTTTTCTTAATTATTATTATTGTTGATTATTTCAGCATCGTTAAGGTAAAGTCAGAAAACCTTGTGGAATTTATTCTGGCAAAGCAGGCCGAGGGTTATAAAGCTGTTAGTTCCAAAGGATCTGCAGGCACACCCAAATTCGACCATTTCGAGTTTCCAAAGAAGTGTATACTGGTGTTGGGGTGAGTTCTAAGCAATAATTCGAAGACGGAAATTTCAAAAGTATGTTTTTCAGGCACGAAAATAATGGAATACCTATTAACGTGGCGGGAGTGCTGGACTATGTTGTGGAGATTCCGCAATTCGGCTTTCTGGATACAAATTTTGGAGCATCACTGCTTATTTGGGAGTTTTTCAAACAGCATTGTGCCTAGGCTTTTACACTTACACTTACCTGCTGCACAGTGAAGGCAGATACAATATTAATTACGCTTTTCAAAGTAAATATCTAAAGTTTCTTTTCCTTATTAAAATCTAAGCTACATTAAAAATCAAAATAAAATGTATACTGTAATAATGCTGCTGGTAATTCTTACTATATGCATGATATATGGGTGGAAATTTAAACTACCATTTGATATAATCTATGATAGTTATAATAAAGTTTATAGAAAACATAATTAGGCACCCCGATATATTAACGTCAATTGATTAGCGTGGAAATTGAATGGCGGAAAAGAATATAATAGGATTTTGTTTATTATTAAATTAAGTTTTAATACATCAATAAGTAAACTGTTTTTTATATTTTGCTACTAAGATCCTATTTTATTTAAAAGAAGGGATTTACTTTTAATTTCAACAAGACAAACTGAAATAAATTGTGGTTTGAGGTACAACATATCCTCCTGCGGTGTCAGTCCGATCATAATCCGTCCCGATATGGCGGCAATGCTTCTCGTCCCCGACAGGCTACTCCACTGTTACTTAATCCTTGTTGCACTAGAATATTATCAGAAATAAAATTTGAATTAAATAAAAAACAATAAAGAAAGCTAACTTTGACCAGCCAAAGTTTGTATACCCTTGCAGGTAACATTTAAAATATATCATAACTAAGCCAAAAATGTATTATAAAATCGGATTTTTTATATTAAAAAACTTCTTGATTTTTTTTTTAAATTAAAAATATCATAACTCGGCCAAAAGAGCATTAATTTTAAATCGGAAAACTGTTCTGTGCAAGATTTTCTACAGTTAATAAATCTGCATACTTCATTTAAATTTTGAAATTTTGAAAATTCAATTTTTTATCAAAATCAAAAATTTTAATGATGTAACCCCTTATGAAATTTTGCAAAAATGGCAAAAAAATCGATTTCTTCCTGACATATCTAAAAAGATTCCCCTGTTGATGCTGATCAAGAATATATATGGTTTATGGGGTCGAAAATGATTCCTTCACTAAGCAAAATATTATTTTGTATTATAAAATCTGATTTTTTATATTGTAAGGAAGTTCGACGGCTGGGGTAAGCCTCAGTCACGTCCAAGGTCCTCTTTAACAGAAAAATTTGTAAAGATGTGGGACAAAGTGTTTTGACGGACGGCAAACTGACATGAGATGGTAATGGTCAGTTACCGGGATACGCAGCCAGAAAAATGGCTGATTCGGTCTCTGCAATAGAGCGAAATAATCGTCGGAGCGCGTTTTGGGGTCGGGCCCATAGCAATCGCTATGCGGAGACCGAGAGAGGGGTCGATTTTGGGGACCACCGTTTCCTAGGGCAGGGTTTATGGCCTAAAATCTAGGCATTTTTGGGAAAATATTCAACGTGAGTCCTGGCCAGCATGATCTTGGGTCGTTCCCTGCGAGCTGGACTCGATCTAAGCCGAAGATTTTATTTACGAGAGCTTTTCTTGAATTTATTTAATTTTTCCTCATGTTTAAATTTCTCTGCATTTATTTTCTCAGGGTGGGCCGTGGTTAGATTATCCGCGAGAGCAGAAATATATTTTTAAATAAAATTTTACTTAAATCTTATTATTTCAAGTTCGGAGTAAAATTTTCCCCAGTGTAGGCGAGACTCAGCCATCCCCCGCAAGCACCAAAAATATCAATATGTACGAGTTTAGGTTTAATTAGTTTTCAGTTTTCATTGTACGAGTTTATTTTTAATCAAGTTGTATTTTGTTTTTCAGAATTTTCTTTTCACTTTTGTTTGTCTTTTTATTTAATCAAGTTTGGCAGGGATTTTTAACAAAAAAAATAAGGTTAGGAGTCGGGGCAATATTTCTAGCCTACTCTAGCGAAAACCGCATCTTGGCCATCGAGAAATTTCTATTCACACGTGTACCCGCTGGCCAAAATGCGATCCTCCCTATACACTCACCCGTCTCCGTTTTCCGCACACACACGTGCCTGTGGCTGCTGCTTCCGCCACGTCCTCGCCTCCGTCCGCTTCCAAAAAAGGTGCCTCCAAATTCTCCGCACTCCACGGGCTGCCGTCACTATCCCTGGTCACTTCGAGCACCACCTCCTGGCTGGTCTCGGGTTATAACATTGTCCTCGTTGGCCGCAGAAACTCCGTCGCGTAGAAACTCCCGTTGTGGTTACGTTGAAACTCCGTCGACCGCTCGCACGTCTATACGTTTTCGTCGCCTCCGCAAAAGTAAATCCAGACACGCGGCTTTGCCAAATTTTCGGCCGCGCTGGTAATTTTCCATTGCTCTTGCATTTCGGTGCATCAGCTTCCCTCTCGCTCTCTCCCGTTGGCGCGTGCCAATTTTCGGGGGTTGCTTTGCGCTCGATCGTATGCTCGCTCTCCGTTGCTCTCGTACGGCGCTAACTCCGTGGCCACTTGTTCGTGGTGAATAACTCTCTCTGCTCTCCGAGTGTAGGTGTGTGTGGGTGTGTGTGTGCGGGATCTAGAGATGTGAGAACGGGGAACCAAAGATAACTACTAATTCTTGACTACGCTTAAATTCTGTACAACTAGAAGATGATTATAGTGCGAAACTTGGCTGCTTAAATATACAGAGCTTATTTTACAAAAACAATAGAGAATGATTATATACAAAGCTTATGTTTACAAAGTGCGAAGTGATTAAAGTATTATACGAAATTATTTTATAATTTGGGCGTTTGCCGGTTTGTTTTTTTGATTTCGCTGCTGGCTGCTGCGGCTCTCCATGAGCGTTGGCGGCAGTGGTTATTGCCGTCGGCTACTGTTGTTGTCGCTGCCGGCTCCTGACCGCCGTTGTTGTTGTTTTTGGGCGCTGCTGACGCTGTTGTTGTTCGCTGCTGACGCTGTTGATATTCGCTGCTGGCGCTGTTGATATTCTTCGGCTGACGTTGCCTCTGCTGTTGTTGTTGGCTGCTGATGCTGTTGTTGCTGTCGGCGGCTGGCGCGGTTGCCGTTGTAGTTGGCCGCCAGTATTTGTGGGAAGTCGAACGACTCCTCACATCCCCCTCTTTCTTCGGGGGCGCGAAAAAATGGAGATCTCGTTCTCCGTGGTGATGTGGGCGCGGCGGATGTGATGGCCGCGGCCAGTGCTGGCGTCTCCTTCTCCTTGCCCGGGGAAGAATTTCCCGGGATGACGGTGGCCAGATCATCGTCGTCGTTGCTTGTGGTGGCGGCCGTGGCCAACGCTGGCACCCTCTCTCGGGGCTCGCGGTCACGTCTCCAAGGGTCACTCGACGGGGAGCGGATGGTAACAGGCTTGGCACCACCGCTGCTGTCCAGGCGTGTATGGCCTCTTGGCCCAGGCCTGAGACGAGCTTTCTTGCGTCGAGCGGGCTGGCTGGTCCGTGTCAAATCGACGGCTTGCGTATGACGCGCTGTAGGGAAACAAAGTTTCATTAGCCTTTTAGGTTTACTAATATGACTAACTAGTGGTTTTAGTTGGGGGTTAGTTATTAGTGAGGGGGAAATGCTAATGCTGGTACTGGGAGCGTTGAGTTTCCCCCTTAGGGAGTGGGAACGTTGGGAAGGCGCACCCTCCAGCAAGTGGCCCCCACTGACTCAAGCATTGGCTCCTGTCGCAGTGTTCCTGGTTGGCTCTTGTCTTGGCCAGATCGAGCGTCGCTCGTCGGCTTATCTTTGAGCAAGTTTGTTGCTGTCGTGCAGTCTTCGTACGGACTTCTGAAGCTGCTGCTGCGCTGCTGTTCTCCGTGTGTGCTTCCGCCGTCTGCGGGTATCCTTGAATGCTTCTCCGTTGTTTCCGTCTTGATGCGGGTATCCCTGGGTAATGATGCTCTGCTTCTCTGCTGCCGCGGTTGCTCTGCTATTTCCGCCTTGGTGCGGGGCTTCTCGCTGATGTGGCCGCCGTGTGCGGTCTTCTCGATGATGTGTCCGCCGTGTGCGAACTCCTGATGCTGATGCCGCCTTGAGCGGGGTTCTCGCTGATGTGCCGCCGTGTGCGGGCTCCTGCTGCTATGCCGCCGGGGTGCGGGCTCCTCGATGACGTTCCTCTGATGCTTCCGCCTGGGTGCGGGTATTTCCTGGATTCTTCTCCTGTCACGGTACAGGCTCTCTGCTGCTGATGCTTCTCTGCTACGGGTCTCTGTGCTTCCTGGTGCCGCCTTGGTGCGGTCTTCCTGCTCCGTGGTCTCCTTAAGTGCGGCTAGGATTCCTCCAGCGTCAGGTGTACACTCTGCTCTGGCTGGGGAAGTCGCTCGCCCTTCCGCTACTGGTTCTGTTGAAGCAGAAGCTTGATTTCGTCGAAACGGATTGTTTCGCGCGGCATTGTCGTCTCGCGGCCCTAACATACTGCTGGTCTGGGTATCTTGCGTCTCGTGATCTGGCTCGTTGCTGGCTGGTGTGGATTCTACGGCTTCGATGGGGTCTGCTGTTTTCGGAGTGAACGCGTTTGTCAAAACCGACGGCGTAGCTAAGTTATAGGTGGGGCTGGGTACTGAAAGAGAAGAGAGGACATGTAAAACCCGGCAGCACTCGTAAGTGCGTATTCCTCTGCGACCACAATCCCAGCAGAAGAGAACTCTGGGATTGCGACATGTGTATGAACGGTGTCCTTCCTGGGCACAATTCCTGCAAGCTAATCTACAATGCGGCACCATCGATATGTTTCCCACTCGAGGACCTAGTTGTGGAACTGCGGCGAGCGTAGGTGGTCGTCTGACTGGTCGCGTGACATTTTGGTAGCTCGTTGATGGTGCTCCTGCATACGCCGGGGTCGCGTAGTCATCTCTTCCTGGTGGTGGCTGCAGTTCGGCCCGCATCCTTGCTTGGTTTCCTGTGGCTCGATCGCGGGTGTCTTCATAGTTTACCACTAAGACGGTAAGTTGCTCCAAAGTCGTGAACTCGTGTCTCCTTGTAAACAGCTGGTATTCCGGTTGAAGATTTTCGTAGATTCGTTCCAACTCCTGTTCCGCGTTGTATCCTGCTCTGTGCATCATGAGTCGAATGTTTACCAGGTACTGCTTAAATGGCTCTCCTCGTCGTTGGTATCTGTTGCGGATCTCATCGTCGAGTCTCTGAAAATACCTGGGCGGCAGGAAGAAGTCAAGAAACGCCTTCTTGAAGTTCGTCCACGATTTTCCTAGTAGCTGGCTTGTCCGAAACCAGTGCTCCGCTGTGTCCGTCAAAAGACCAGGGATGGCCTGTGGCATCTTCTCCACGTCGACTTCATATGCGGTGGCTCGTTCCTCGAAGTGCTGGATAAAGGTAATGGGGTCCGTGGTCCCATCGAAAGTAATTCCCCAATTCTTCAGTTTCTCTGCGAGCGTGGCTGCTGACATCTCGGATTTCTTGGGAAAAATGTCCCGTCTGACCGGGTTGGTCTCCATGTCTCCGACTGTAGTGGCACCTCTGCCTTCCTGTGTTGACATCTGAAGCTGCGTGGGACCCGGTGGGTGTGGATTCAGACTCGGTGTACGTTGTTTACTCTCAGTTAATGCGGCTGTGATTTCCGCCTCGCATTCCTGCAGTTGTTCGGCTATCTCCAGCACATGATCGTCCCGATTATTAAATGCGGCCAACCGGCTCCTCATTTCCTCGACTGTTCCGGTTGCTTCCAGGGAAAACTCCTTCAAAATCGCCTCCAGTTCCCGCTTCCGTAGATACGAAATCCAGCGTGCGCCCATATTGCTGTGAAATAATTAATCAACGGGCAAACGACAAGAAAAATTTCGAAAGGTCGAGAGAAATATTTCAGACGAGGGTCAAGCGACGTTTGCGTTGATTAAACTTCAGTGAAGTATTGGATTTTATTTGCCACACATAAAAAAATCGCTAACTGCCCACGTGTAACTAGGTTAAACCCGAATTCGATGTAAAACGGCGATGTAATTCTGTAGCTCTCCTCGACGGCGGTTAAATTTTGATTCGGCGGCGATGTAAGCTTGTAAATGTTCACGACGATGATGAAAGTTTTATTCGACGATGATTTAAGCTTTTATTCGACGGTGCTCGAGACTTAGTAAAATTTTCACGACGATGATTTTTGGTTCCTGTTGAAAAACTGCGACTCTACGCGTTGGCTCGACGACGGTTGAAAGACAAGAGACCACGATGGGATCCCGTTGACTGTACTCGATGGCTGCTGGTGTGAGGGAGACGACGATGAGAGTGAAGGGTGAAAACAAAATGGCTGCGCTGTGGAAAATTTGTGTTAGCTTTTCCCTGCCACGTGCTTTCGAAATTCTCGCGACCTGACTTGGCTACCTAGAGGGCTTTTCGCTCTCTCTCTCTCTCTCCCTTTTTTTTTCTTTCCCTCTTTGCTTTCTCTGCTCGGTTTTATTTCTTGGCTCACGTGTGTTTCTGGTCACGTGATCAAATAACCTCTCGTTTTAGGTTATGATCTTTTCACGGCTGGAATATAAAATTTTCCCCTGCGTGTGCCACGAGTTTCTTAGAGTGGGTATACTTTTTGGTTAAGTTCTCCCGATTTTTGCCATGTGCCTTGAAAAATTCAAAGTTTTCTCGATTGTGAGGTTATATAGAATGCCCGGTATATATTCTTATCGATATATATATATATTCACGTAGTTTTCTGCCCTAGAAATTTTGGGTGTCCCTCGACATCTGACTCTCCATACGTTCCGACTTAGAAAATTTTCTCTAAGTGGCGGAACCGAAAATTTTTCAAACTTGACGTATCCGAATGGGTCTTTAGGCCATATTTTCGACGTCTAAAGTTCGTAAACCCCATGTCCCTGCTCGGGCGCCATTCTGTAAGGAAGTTCGACGGCTGGGGTAAGCCTCAGTCACGTCCAAGGTCCTCTTTAACAGAAAAATTTGTAAAGATGTGGGACAAAGTGTTTTGACGGACGGCAAACTGACATGAGATGGTAATGGTCAGTTACCGGGATACGCAGCCAGAAAAATGGCTGATTCGGTCTCTGCAATAGAGCGAAATAATCGTCGGAGCGCGTTTTGGGGTCGGGCCCATAGCAATCGCTATGCGGAGACCGAGAGAGGGGTCGATTTTGGGGACCACCGTTTCCTAGGGCAGGGTTTATGGCCTAAAATCTAGGCATTTTTGGGAAAATATTCAACGTGAGTCCTGGCCAGCATGATCTTGGGTCGTTCCCTGCGAGCTGGACTCGATCTAAGCCGAAGATTTTATTTACGAGAGCTTTTCTTGAATTTATTTAATTTTTCCTCATGTTTAAATTTCTCTGCATTTATTTTCTCAGGGTGGGCCGTGGTTAGATTATCCGCGAGAGCAGAAATATATTTTTAAATAAAATTTTACTTAAATCTTATTATTTCAAGTTCGGAGTAAAATTTTCCCCAGTGTAGGCGAGACTCAGCCATCCCCCGCAAGCACCAAAAATATCAATATGTACGAGTTTAGGTTTAATTAGTTTTCAGTTTTCATTGTACGAGTTTATTTTTAATCAAGTTGTATTTTGTTTTTCAGAATTTTCTTTTCACTTTTGTTTGTCTTTTTATTTAATCAAGTTTGGCAGGGATTTTTAACAAAAAAAATAAGGTTAGGAGTCGGGGCAATATTTCTAGCCTACTCTAGCGAAAACCGCATCTTGGCCATCGAGAAATTTCTATTCACACGTGTACCCGCTGGCCAAAATGCGATCCTCCCTATACACTCACCCGTCTCCGTTTTCCGCACACACACACGTGCCTGTGGCTGCTGCTTCCGCCACGTCCTCGCCTCCGTCCGCTTCCAAAAAAGGTGCCTCCAAATTCTCCGCACTCCACGGGCTGCCGTCACTATCCCTGGTCACTTCGAGCACCACCTCCTGGCTGGTCTCGGGTTATAACATTGTCCTCGTTGGCCGCAGAAACTCCGTCGCGTAGAAACTCCCGTTGTGGTTACGTTGAAACTCCGTCGACCGCTCGCACGTCTATACGTTTTCGTCGCCTCCGCAAAAGTAAATCCAGACACGCGGCTTTGCCAAATTTTCGGCCGCGCTGGTAATTTTCCATTGCTCTTGCATTTCGGTGCATCAGCTTCCCTCTCGCTCTCTCCCGTTGGCGCGTGCCAATTTTCGGGGGTTGCTTTGCGCTCGATCGTATGCTCGCTCTCCGTTGCTCTCGTACGGCGCTAACTCCGTGGCCACTTGTTCGTGGTGAATAACTCTCTCTGCTCTCCGAGTGTAGGTGTGTGTGGGTGTGTGTGTGCGGGATCTAGAGATGTGAGAACGGGGAACCAAAGATAACTACTAATTCTTGACTACGCTTAAATTCTGTACAACTAGAAGATGATTATAGTGCGAAACTTGGCTGCTTAAATATACAGAGCTTATTTTACAAAAACAATAGAGAATGATTATATACAAAGCTTATGTTTACAAAGTGCGAAGTGATTAAAGTATTATACGAAATTATTTTATAATTTGGGCGTTTGCCGGTTTGTTTTTTTGATTTCGCTGCTGGCTGCTGCGGCTCTCCATGAGCGTTGGCGGCAGTGGTTATTGCCGTCGGCTACTGTTGTTGTCGCTGCCGGCTCCTGACCGCCGTTGTTGTTGTTTTTGGGCGCTGCTGACGCTGTTGTTGTTCGCTGCTGACGCTGTTGATATTCGCTGCTGGCGCTGTTGATATTCTTCGGCTGACGTTGCCTCTGCTGTTGTTGTTGGCTGCTGATGCTGTTGTTGCTGTCGGCGGCTGGCGCGGTTGCCGTTGTAGTTGGCCGCCAGTATTTGTGGGAAGTCGAACGACTCCTCACAATATTAAAAAACTTCTTGATTATTTTAAAATTAACAAGAAAGGAAGCTAACTTCGGCATGCCGTTGCAGATTCACTGCGTTGCAAACTTCTGACTGAAATTATAATACCCTGCAAGGGTATAAAAACATAGCCGTCTCGTGGATATTGCAGATGTATTCATGTACATGCTTTAAATGATTTAAAAATTAATTCTAAATATATACAAAGTTCAGGAATGTCAGTAAAGAACTGACATTTAGCAGGAGCTGCGCAGCAAGCACTTTATGAAAATTCTGATCGAATTCGAGTCATATTCAACTCTCCTTTCTGATTAAAAAAAGCATATATGCGCTCATTTTCTGATCATAAATGATGCTGTCTTCGGGAGAAATTGGACCCCTAGCCGCGACACTTCTGGAAGAGTCGTTTCCGACTTCTTTTTCTCCCAAGAGAGGACTCTTTTTTGAGTCATATTTTAATCGAATCGGAAATGGCTAATCGTTCCCAAAAGGAGCCCGAAAAGGCTCTGGCCACATTAAATGGCAAATTCCGCCTAAACGTTGGTCACACTTAAACTCTCCAGGGCCTTATATAACACGAGCCCATGGCCTTGGGAGCTCATTCGGTTTCGGCCGGCGATCGGAAAAGGACTCCGGAGGAGCAGTGGTAAGGAACCAACCATGGACCGGATAAGGTGTATTTTGGTAAATCGATATTGGAGGACCTTAAGGCCTCCACAAATTTCTCGTTATTATAAAATAATAACGAACAAAATTCTGTTTGCAATTATAAAATTAAACAATAATTTTTTAATATTTATAATATTATTGTGTTGTTTACCCACTGCTTGCCGTGCCCTCGGGTACAAATGCGTTGGTGCCCTGCCATTTGTTGTGCGGTCTTCGTCATACTGGTACTGGTAACTCGCTTCGTTGCTCTCTTTTTCGTGCCGAAATAACGTAGTAGATTTGTTGCATTCCAGCATGTATATGCAACACATGCAACTTTTCCTACGCCTCGAAGGCGTCTCCTGCAGGAGCCGCAATGCTCCCCCAGTGCGGGCTCCTCCTGCTGTTCGGCCTCGTCGTGGTTCAGAGCCAGGGTCTCGTCTATGTCGAGATCATCTTCGAACTCCGTCTCACGGAAAATTCTCTTAGGAACGTTCATTTTCGCGCGAGTTTTCGTTTTCCTAAAAACGGCTGAAGTCGCCAAAAAAGCCAAAATTCGCCGAATGCCTTTAATAATAATAATTGGTTTACTTCCTTATAAATATGCATATATTTATTACTTCGACAGATCTAGGTCCAGCTTTTTCAGCATGCTGAGGAGGCAAACCACTCTCCTCAGCAGCTGGTGGATCTCTAGGAGCCTTGCTTTTAGTTTGGGCTCGGCCATTAGGGCGTCTGCTATGGCTACAGCCGTCTCTGTGGACAGTTTGCGGCCCATGCTCTCCACGCTTCGTTGTTGCACTCCCTGAAGTGGAACTGTCCAGCACTGCGAACCGCTGGGCCACCACCCGTTCCACCTCCTTTATTTCGAAAAGGATCCTTCTCCTGGCGGCGGCTGGGATGGAGTCGGTCATGGCGCGGATGGTGGCGAACTTTTCGGCTCCGTTATTTTGGCGGAACACCGCGTGCTTGTGGACCGCCTGGAGGACGACATCAACGTAGCCCATGTTGGTGTCCATCCTCTTGAAGAGGTGGTGGAGGTCCACAAGCACGGGGTACCCCGCCTCCACAAGGAGGGCATTGTTCGTTCCTTCGTCTGCAACGATGGCCAGCAGGTGGTCCTCGATGCCCAGGCCTCGGAGTTCGTTGACCACTGCCAGCAAGCATTCCAACACCTCCCGAGCATCGAACTGTCTGTTTTTCTGGACAAACAAGGAAATTAGGCTACATTAGGCTTTGTTGTGAATAAGTACATACTTACGGTTTTCGTGTACACCACCTTCTTTAAGGAGCCGTCCTCCGTGGTGGCCAGTATGAGCACGATGTGTGCTGCGACAGGCTGCAATAACATGTATAGCCACGGTCCACCGATAAGGGAGGATATACGGGTACTCATCGTCTTTAGGAATATAACGTCGATCATTAGGAAGAAGCACCTGTCGGTGGACGCAGATTTCAGGGTCTCCAAAGCCGGCCTGTTTATGAACAGCCCACTCGGCCTGTGGGGGTTGTCGACCACGGGCAGGTGGCGGAGCACCTCCTGGGGCAGGTGTGGCGCATCAAACTGTTTATTTTTCTAGAGAAAAGGGCAATTGGCTATATTAGGCTTTGTGTGGATATGTACTAACAGTTTTCGTGTAGACCACCTTCTTCATGGAGCCGTTCTCCGTGGTGGCCAGCATGATCACGATATGTGCCGTGATAGGCAGAATATATATACATAAATGTGTATAAGGGATATAGGGTATATGATATAGATAATAATCAAGCAGCGTTTTTCCAGTTGGAAGCTTGAGTGTTACCGCATTTTTTTCCGCTGACCGATGTGGCGGATGATGAACGCCGGTTTGGACGTCTCGGCCTCCGAGCTAGCCTTTGATATGGCTTCCAGCCGTGGTCGACGTTCTCTAGCTTAATCGTGTTCGCCTCTGAAAAGTCCCGAGTGCCCTGTACTTTCTCTCGAGCGCTTTTAAATACTGTTCCAGTATTCCGCGGTAGAAGCCCCTTGCTCGATGTCTGGTTTGGGGTTTGTTTTTAAATCGTCTAAGAAATTTTTTAGCACTATATCTACAATCGAAAATCTTCGTGACATTGTGCATATTAAATGCAAGTAGTCCGGAAGCATGGGAAGGGATAGGACTTTCTTGCTCCGCGTGTTCAGTATATATTGGTCACTTACTACCGCCATCATATCTTGATAGACCTTGAGGCACTTCCCGGCTTGTCCAAATTAAAATCTTTATGAAATCTCTCAAGATTATCGAAAATAAGCACAATTGCATAATTTTGCGTTAAAGCTTTCCGGAAATTATCTAAAGGCAGTGTTTACAAAGGCAAATTTGGGGTTTTCCCTAAAAATCTAGACGTCAAAAAACCCCCAAATCCAAGGAGAACGCCCTGATTCGCTAGAAATCGGTATTTTTTCTAAATATATTCTCGATTCCGACCCATATTGGATATATATTTTTGATCAGCCTACACAGCCAAGGTGATAAACCTCTATTCAATGAATATTTTTCTAAAACTTTTATATTTAGTTGTTTTTTGTACGACAAAAAAATAGGCCGAGAATATTAGCGTTTGAAAAAATCCGCCGCTCGGCGAGGCTGCCGGCAGAACTTATGCTTGAATCAGTTTTCCACTGACAAAAGCTGGTGTTGTATCGCAACTAGCTTGCTACACGCAACATTCACGTAACCCAACAAACAATATTCTAAATCGAACTAAATTAAATTCTATATGTAATATGCTGATTTTTTAAGCTATTAAAAACTAGAGAAAAAAGATTTGCGAGCGGAAAGTATTTTTTTTTTTCTTTGTTACAATCGATTTTCTTTTCTGACTCATTAGCTTATTGCAAACTGAAAGGGTAAACAACCTTTGGATATTCTTCTTAAAATTATATTTTCAAGTTTTAAATATTTATTTGCAATGTAAATCAAATTATTGAAAATACATCAAATCAGCAATGTAGTTCATATACAGACTAGCTATCTGTTCATCTTCGAGCGCTTGGACACCTTATTTTCGCTACTGATTACCTTTTGGACGAACTCCCTGGCCCTGTAGAGATCGGTGAGGATGCCGGGCAGCTTTTTCTGGCAGGTGGACGGGCTTCCGGCCACGATGCCGCACAGCTCCTCGCCAGCGCTCACCGGACAGCCCGCCTCGAACATGCAAGTCTCGGTCCTGGTAAACTCTTGGCCACAGGCCACCGTTATTGACAGGAGGTTCTCGTACTGTGATGCACATTCCTTCGTGTCCATGATGCTGATCGTCGCGACTTGCACCTCCTTGCCGCAGGCCACCACCTCTACAGTATCGTTGAGGGACATGGGCTTGCTGCAGAGCCGTGCAAAGTCGTTGCGACTGCCACTCAAACGGGCGCTCAGCTGGACGACGGCCACGTCCATGTGGGTGCTTTGCCACATCTTCGGTACGTAAATGGCGCTTACGCCGACGAAGGGGGGCTCCTCCGGCTCCTCCTTGAGGAGCTGCACTCTTAGGGCGCTCAGATCCAAGCGATACCGATGCAGGCAGTTGGCCGAGGTCACAGCGTACAGGGCACTGATGTAGGCCGCCCCGCAGACAAAGTCGTTTCCCTTCATGATCCTAAGTACCCAGTGGCTTACATGCCCGCCCGTGGTCCTACGGAAGCGGCCAATGTTATTGGTCCTTACCGGCGATTGCACCTGGAGGCTGCCAGCGGCGAGTCCGGCATTCGTGAGAATAAACGGAAGCCATAAGACTAAGCTTTGGACCTTCATCGGAGGACTAGTTCTTTGTGAATTAAAAAGTATACTGATTGCCCGATTGTATATAGGAAATTATCAAAGAAAGGGGTGACGAAACCATTTCACACTATTTAAAGCGTAAAATTTAAAAATTTAAGTTTCAGACTTTTTAACATAAAATAAATAAAACTAGAAAGGAGGCCGAAGCTTATATACCAGAAGATCATAACTAAGTCAAAAAGGCAGTAATTTTCATTCGAAAAGATTTTCTCTTTCATTCATTAAAAAACCCGTGAATAAATATAATTTATCTTAATAATATCCTCGATAATTTTAGTATTATTTTCGAGTATATTTGACACTCACTCTTGATCGATTTGATATTTTAGGAAGGCAGAGGTAAAACCTGCTCATTTCGTTGCCAAAATAAAGTCCCCCAAAACTGTAATATCCATATTATTTTTAGGCTCTCAACCCTTTCTGAACGATACAGTGCGTAAGTGCCTGAAGTAAGTCAGAGATTCGTTGTGATGTCATTCGAAGAGGCAGTCATTGTCTCCGCGGGAATCGTGTTTTCGCACAATAAATTTCGGGTTTTATTAATTCTTAAATGGTGATCGAAGATGATAAACGAGCATAAATTAAATTAAGCTGGTTAAGTTACGTTTAATTGCGATTTGCTCTTCTTTTAAGGAAATTTTCCACCAGTCATTTAACATTTTTCACCAAGATATGGTAAGTCAACAAAAATTCCAAAACTGAGCAAATAGTATTATTTCAAATGAAATCAACATTTAAATTCATGGGGTTTTATTTTATTTCAGGTTATTTTTTTTTTAATTAAATGGTGACTAATATGTAATAAATGTAAATATATCAGAAGTTCATTTATACCATAAAAGGTTAGTAATATAAATATAGGTATCTAATGCAACATTAAACTGGTAAAAACAAAGTCTGCGGTTAATTATTTATTTATAATCATCGTAAAACTGAGTAAATCAAACAGAAACTGTGACTGATCGGTCAAGTTTGGTGCTCTTATGCAATCGCTCTTGACGCGAGCACTTGAACTCTTAATGCTAATCATCAGTTTTTTAACCCAAAAGTCAACCAATCACTGTGGGAATTCCATAAAAATGAGTTGCTTTTAAAATCATGAATAAATATAAATATAATAAGAATATATTAATAATTTTAAATTCATTTTTAATTAATAATTTCTTTGGGTTTATTTTAAGCGACTCATTTTTTTTTCTCGGTGCAAATCCAAAAAACCCGCTGAACTGACGCGCTGATGACATCATAAGCGGGTTTGGGGGAACTTGGGATTCTCGGCCCACTTGCGCACATGCATTTGTGCCCGCCTAGCGGTACTTTCAACCCCAAAAATAACAACCCACTGAAGCGGAGGCTGGGCTGGGTTATTATTTCGGGAACTGCGTAATTTGGGTTTCAAGTACAAAAACCGGACACTGAACCCGGTCGACGACATCGACGACCAGCGGACTTCCTGAACGTAGGGCTCGCTGTGGTTTGGCCTGGGCAGCTCTTCCTCTTCCGGCTAATGGTCGATGTCCAGTGGATCACGTAGGCCACTTTGGCAATAGGGTCTCCCCTGGGATCGGTTCCCAGCAACCCCAAGAATTGGCAATCCGGCCACGCATTCATCGCAGCCGTAAGTGCGCACCCAACGAAGTCACCGATTGTAATGCCCATCATGAGGCGGAGTGGTTCGCACGCACAGGTCCAGCGACTTAGTCACATACTCCGGTGCCCGATGCCTGCTGAAAGCCCGGTACTCGGAGCCCCATAAACATAATGCGGCGGCTATCGGTGCCGAAAGTCCCTGCCCGGCATGCCAAATGAGGCCAAGAGCGTGTGCGCGGCCCGCTTCTGACGTTACCTATTTAATATATCAAGTGAAGACGCAAACTATAACACTAGAAAGACCAAAGGGGGTTTTTGTTAATCTTTATTAATCATTTAAAATTAAAAGTAAATACATAAAAAATAATATATATTTAATGCATATATTTATTAAAATAAAACCGCAGGTTAAAGGTTAAAGTTTAAAGAATAAATAACTGAATGGCATAATCATTTATTCACTTTACCTACTTTCTATTATTTTTCTAAAGGAACTGCAATAAATTTATAGCCATTAAAATAATAAACAAAGTCAATTAATTGCATTAGCCACATTCAAAGCTTAATTAATCAACAATGAGAATAGTTCCAGGAACTTAGAAATTTGCTCCAGATGCCATATAAAAATAACCTACTTCCAGGAAACCTAATTTAAACGGCAAATAAATATCTTACATACTTGATATTATTTTGTTTTTATATTTAATTTAAACAGAAAAAAGCACAAATAAATTCAAGCTGTTATTGGAGTGTTAAAGTCTCAGACAAAACCGCATTGCGCTCTGAATACAAATCACTTCTGATTTCGACCAATTCATAAGCTCTTTATGTTTTGCTTCGATTTCAATTGGCAACAACTTCCTTCTTAAAGCGGGTTTTTTTCCTGGCGACAATAGTGTCTTTTTGAAACTAAAAAACTCCCGCATTTTAAATGATTTCCATGGAAATAGCATTTACCATTGCGACAGTGACATCAACAACAATAAAAAAGGAGAATGTGGCTCCCAGGCAAGAAAAGCAATAATTCTTGCTTATCTAAGGGGGCGATGGTGGGGTGGGAGAAATGTGTTGCATCTGATATCCTTGTTGATGGTATTACTATTGTCCTGCAATTGCATTGCACAAAGTATACAATGTACTGAAGGTATGCAGGAAGGGAAGGGATACAAATGAGAAAAAAATGCTGCAAAAAAAGTAGATCCTTGTCTGGGGTAACTCGAGATGGTTACTGATCTCGCAAAAGGACATCTGTTGCTCTCAGGAGATACAGCAGACACTTCAGGAAGCGATGAAAAAACATCTTCAGGAGGGAGGAAGATCCTCGGGCAGACAGATCGGAAGCAGAGATGACGTTGATGTCTGGATCCGGACTCTGGGTTCATTGATCAGTGTAACGATCTTCCTTTGATCTTGGGTTACAGTTTGGAAGGGAGTTATTCTCTCTGTTCTTCCTTAATATTTGCTTACCTTACTCTACAACTTGAACTCTTTACTTATTGATCAGTGAAATTGATCTTCCTTTCATCTTGAGTTTCAGGTGGGTGTTTCTGCTCTTCTTGTTTCGTTTATTTTTAAGTTTATCTATCTGCTGGACTTGTTGGTTTCGCATGAACTTTTTTGAAGTTAAGTTCCTCTCTCTTTTTATAAAAACAATAATCTTAAGCTAGACCCCTTGTGGTTTCGAGTTCCCATCAGCAATGTTTCCTTCCGTTTTCCGCCAACTTTCAGGCCTAGTCCCCCTTTTCTACCTGAGTTCATCTATCAAAACTAATGAGTTTCCTGTTGCTGATGTCTGAATCCTGAGCTCGGGACCAACTCTAACGAATGCAGGTTAATAACTTAACGGACTGGCTGCTGGCTGCTGGGTAACCCGATATCCGCATCGCCACAATGTAGGTGCTTGACCCGATTTCGTTGGGATAAAAAGCACTTTTATGGCGGCGAAGGATAAGGGGAGTGCAGCCTGAAATCGAGACTTTTATGAGATCCCGGCCGATGATGCTGTTGCCAATGTGGCCAACTGACCTTTTCAACTCGCCCGCCTTTTTAGGGTCTCTTATGGCTACCGATGCTAATGACCGGGGTGAACTCTGACATGCGATAGTCGTTTGCAGTGTGCCACAAACCGAGTTGCACTTCCAGGGCTCCCCTGGACTCCTTAAACCCAATTAAAGGCGGCGTTACCTAACCCAATAACTAACCTCTTGCGCCACTTCTGCCCAAATACTCCCCACCGGCAGAAGTTTCCGTTGCCTAGCCGCAACATCGAACCGGGTTCGCTTCGAGCCCAGATCGCGCAGGAAGTCTAGGGGGTGGGTCTGGTGCTTACCAGGGGTTGTTGTGTTGTGTTGCGGTAGTCTTTGGCATTTGTTGTGCTCCACGTGTAATGAATAACCTGAGGAGGTGTGGCTATGCCTCCCCGGAGGCATTGAATGACACACTGAATATCCTGGAACAAAGAGTCCTTTCTTGGTGACTCTCCTCTCTCCTCTTCTAGGAATGTTACGCCTTTTGCCTTATCACGATTATCGCCAATGCCAAGAAATCGATGTGCATCCAATAAGTTTTCGTCTAATTTTAAAAGTTTTCGCCAGCAGGGTCCTTGTAGCTTCCTGCCGCTGCAAGTTTCCGCTTTCATTAGCATGAAGACGCCGCAAACTTGTCTCGGCGAAAGTTTCTCCTGCGGGCCAGAGATACAAACAACAAGTGTCGAGAACTTACATCACTCGAGCGGAAACTGCCAAAAAAGCGACCCATTCATGTTGTGTTTACCACCCAATTTGGCCAGAGCAAGGAGCTTCCAACTCGAACCTGTGTGCAGGAAGTTGGCCAGGCCAAGGGGCTCAGAAAAAAAACGTGGCCAGAACGAAACAGTTTCGCAACGAACTCTGAACGTAGCAGACGAAGCGCAGAGCTGCCGCATCGAGTATAAAGAACCATATCTTAGTCCGAGTCTGAGTCTGAGTTTGAGTTTGAGTCTGAGCCTGGGGCCCCGAGTCCTGACTCCCGACTCCCGATACTTGTCCCGAGGCGTCGATATGGCAACGGGGCCAACAGGAGCAGCAGCAGCAGCAGGACAGGGGCGGCTGCGTGTCCTCGTTCCAGGAGCTCGGCTGCCGCTCGGCTCGATCCGATGCCATTCGGCCCCGGTTTCGGTTACGGTTTCGGCTTCGGTTCGGTTTCAGTTTCGGCTTTCGACGCGCTGCACTCGCTGCGACCAGAGTTTTGAAGTTCCCGCTGGCCAAGTTTCGAATCAGTTGCCGCCGACTTGTTGTGTCATTTGCATATAAACGTCACGGCCTGCATATCGATCAATGCACCAGTTATCGGGTCGCCATCGGGACCTTGCCATTTACCCAAAGATCAATTAGTGCCGCTCGATAGTTCGATCTTCG